GAAATTGGAGAGTGTGTGAACCTGATGGTTATTGTACTAACCTGGGATGTGTGAGACCCAGGTTCAAGTCTGGCAGGGTAGGAACTACAGCCTGCATCTCCCACATCCTAAGTGAGTGCCCTAAACTCTGGTCTATTGGCAGTCCTGGGGCTGGAGGTCTCTATTTTGCACACAAAAATTTCAAGGTCTCAGTTTTCTCTCAGTGCAGAATAGGAAGCTTCTTGCAACGAAACATTTTCTCAGGATGGGAAAACCATTTTCAGCACAGCTCTACTTGATTGTCCTTTTCCTGCCTGCTTAATTTGAACCAGGCACTGTAACTGTGGATTGGGGGGGGGGGGGTGAGGCATTTGTGATGGATAAAGCTGAGTGAATAATGTTGTTGTTTTTTAAAATATAGTGAAACAAACAAAACCCCAATAGACTTGGTTTATTTTGAACTGAAAGTGATTTCTTTGGTTTTTCTCATTTGAAATAAAAAACCAAACACGTTCCAAAAATGTGTAAACAAACCAATTTGACATCGCCTTCCCTGACCCCAAAACACTTTTTTTCAGATGAAACTATTGACTGTATTAGGCCCAAATTAACATACAGTTTTGGTGCACCAAAAAAATATATTTTCCAGCAAATTTACTAATTGACCCAAAAAAACAAACCCCCAAAACCACTAGCTCTAATGGTAGATCCACAGGCCTGCTCCAGTCTATGCCTCCTTACATGCCTCCTTGGAATGGATGTTTGATGCTATCCAAGCCCATCTAATTCTAATGGGCAGCTGAACTCTGAATGAGCTGAACTCTGCTCTGGTTGTACAGGACAACAGGGTCTTGGGGAAGGATGTTGGTGTATGCACTACTAGTGCTCGGTATGGGCCCCATGTCTTGATTTGAGGGCAGGAACGTCATTCCTTCCCATCTTAAAAAGAGATCTCATGGCTCTAAAATGGAGTTGAGCAAGGGTTAGTCATGGGCCCATTGGGCAAGAAATGCATCCCTCAGAAGTGACTGGGTACATGACAGGTTTGCCAGAGCCAGTGGAGCATTTCCCCCAAAGCAAGATCCTTTTAACTTTACAACAGTCAGTTGATGTCCTACACAAGATGGCCACTTTGGGCTTTAAATTCTACCATGTAAAACAAAATTTTCAAAAAGTGCAGTCAGAATTAGGGCCCTGACCTGGCTGAACTTCTGGGTTAAGATGGGACGGGAGATTTTTCCTTTTGTTGCTGCTTCATCCAGAATTACTGCTGGAGGAAGTAGCCAGCCCTTCTTACCTTGCCTTCCTTGCCAAGATTTGCTTCTGCCCACTCCCAGGCCTTCTAGCTGCTGAAGAACAGCTTTGCATTGTTTCCACTAGCCATTGATCCTGGATGGCCTCTCTAGGCAGACTTTTTGGAGGTCTAAACATGCTTCTCTTTTTCCCCAAAAGGGCATCAAAGCACTAGGGCATCAGACGTCTGATAGGCCTTGTCTCAGGGGAAGTTGAGGTAGCCTCCTAAACATCCGTGAGAATCGGGCCTCCTGCAAGAGATGCTTCCCTCAGCCTCCTCTCATTAGTTAAGACTAGAATGGACCCTTTCAAAAAATTGTGTGTGGGGGGGGTGTTTCTGAAAAATCTTCAGACACATCTGTTTTCTCACCCCCCCCCCACCCCATTTCCTTTCAATTAACCCTCTGCAGAGAGGTAGAAGGTTTCTTTGGGCTGTGCCAACCTCTTTTAGCATTGTGGTGACTGAGATATGATAAGGAATTAGTTTACTTGAGATTTCTCCTCCCTCTTTCCTGGCTTCTATTTATGAGTGTACAGCAAGGCTTTTTAAAAAAAAAAACAAAAAACACACCCCAAACACATCTTTTTTTACAGTGACTTGCCTCCTGAATACTTTAGTCTAGGGTATGTTAATATTTGGGTCTTGTGTTCTGTCTCCTATACAAGGCCCTTTAGCAGAACCCGGGAAGCAGTGCAGTGCTATTATGCTGAACAACAAAATAAAACAAAATTTCACAAAGGGTGGTTATCTGTCTGAATAAATTTTAAAACACTCAGCCCTCGAGTTGCTGTGAAATTTGTGGTCTTCTCAAAACAGTTGCTCAATGAGGGAAGTGGAGTCTTCCGTATTGTGTAAGTGAGGAAGTTAGTCTTATTCCAGAGATTTTTGAAAGGTATATCCTACTGCAAATTGTAGTTGATAAGCAATAAATAGTGTATGTGTATGGAGAAACAGATTTGTTTACTCTTATATACATGTATTTGTAATGCAGACTTTGCCTAAATCGCATATACAAAAAAGCTCATGTAGAACCTGCATAGGATGGTGTGCAGTCATGGCGACTGTGCACAACAGTGATGAATAATGCATGAAATGGTGTTTTCTTGCGTACTGTTGTAAACGGGCATGTAGATTATGTACAATTACTTTACTCAGTTTTAGATTTAGGGTGGGATATTCAGAACTGCTCAGTGTTGGTCTAATTCTGTTGCACTCAGTGGTAAAATGGTCATTGTGTACTATCAGAGCAGAGTTACATCGGCACTAAGCGCTTACAAAAATCCCTCTCTTGAACCTTTGTTTTAAAGATGGCAACTAAAATTGAGCACTAGAATATTGCTGCTTCTATTTTTTTTTTTTATTTAGTAGCTTAGTTACAAGAGTAGGAGTGTTGCTGTTGACAACAGGAGCGCTTTGTATGGAGATCTGCAAACCTTTCCGTAGTGGAGCATGTGAACTAGAAGCTAATAGGGCCAGCGCATGACGTCTTCTGTGCTAGAAGCCAATAGCACCCCTTTGTGACCCCTACTTTTATGTTCACAGGGTTGTAGGTTAATACGTCTTAATGCAATTCAAAACAAGAAATGAAGTATTTGTGGGGAATTTTTCATAGTGAGACCAATTTCTACTACATCTTAAGAAAAGAGGGCCAGGGAAATCATTTTGGCTTCATATCCTGGCTATTCACAGCTCTGTGAAATAGTTAAGACAGACAATTAGTAACCAGCTGTGGCCTGCTGTCTGATGTGCATCATAACCAGACAGAATCCCATGCATATTAGAGGGGCTCCATATGAGGGTATGGGCCTGTTTGTGCCAATGAGATAGCAGAATTGGGGCATATTTGGACAAAGCCGCTTTCAAAGCTCAGAGGGCCCAGTTTATCTCTGCCAGATATACCATGACTTGTAATATGCTTTTCGTTGAGGGTGGTGGCATAGATCTCTTTTTGTTGTATACATTTCAAATTGCAGCATAACATTTAAGTTTCAAATGACTTGCAAAGTCCCATCCCAACTTTATTTTGGTAGAAATGGGGCACGCCCTTTTTTATTACAAGTGCAAGATGAAATTCTGCTTTTATTTATTTTGATGAAAAGAGAATGAGTCTCATGTTGACGAATTGAGTAAAACCTCCATGATAGTCCTGCATTTCTCAAAGTCCTCACTCTAGCTCTGTGTATTTGATGCTTCCTGTCAAATATCAGGCCTCAGAAGACTTTTTTTTTTTAAGCAATGAGTGCACAGAAGACTTGCTTTTTGTACTTTGTTGGGAGTGATTGAATGTTTGAGAGCTGTGTGATTAATAGTCGGTTTAGAATGTGAAGATGTTACTATGCCTTGTATTGCCTCAGTACCTGTTTCTATTGATTTCTGCTATATTGCTCTTGTAGTATGTTTGGCCATCCTGTTTTGCTTATTTCATTCAGCTGCATATCGGAAGTCTTCACGGTTAGTTCTTCTTACAATAGCTACACAATTTTGATGTTTAGCAGTGGGTGGGGCATACTTGTCAGTATCCAGTAACCAGAAATTCATAGGTCACATCTTCATCTGAGTAATGACAGAGGTGAAGTAAATCAAATCTTGGGAATTGTGGTGACCTAGATTACCTGGTTCACTGGGAACATACTAGACTAGACCCAAAAGTCTGAAGACTTAATGGGTTGCTTTAAAAATAATTTGTTAGATGAGAGCAGAACGTCTCTCTGTACATAATACAAGCTGCTTTGAGTAAATGCAGATTAAAATAGTTATAAATAGCATTGCTATATGCATCAATACATGTAAAAGTTTAATAGATCAGAAATGAGTGAAGAAGGGATTTACAAGAAGGAAGATAGCAGAGAAGAACAGAACAGAAACTACCAATCAAGAGAAACGATGCCAGTAGGAAGTAAGCTTAAGGTCAAGTAGGGAGAAGGCATTAAAACCATGGTATGAGGGGAAAAATCTGACTAGTGTTACAGACCAAATAAATCCAGCTAGAGAAGCAGACTTGGAATGGAGGTAGAAGTAAATGCATGTTGTTTTGACTCTTTTTGGTTTAATTTTACTGGCTTGCATTAGATATGTTTAGCACTTCATAGCTTTGTGTTGAGCTCAGAGTTGTGGTTTTTCTATTATATATGCCTACATGTAAAGCCACTCTTGAAAAAAGAACAGCTTTTATTCTTCTTGCTCAAAAGAAACTAAAACTCACAACTTTTTTTGTGTGTCTTTTGCAGATATTTTTCTTGGGTCATAATTTTCAGTGCTTACATGAAGGGATCATGGGTGGAAATGGTATCATTAATGAAAGATTAAGATCCACAAAGGGATCAGATTTGCAAGTTTTACGTTTAATTCCTACATACGGCATAAATGGGCCTTGATATGCTACACTTGGATATTTACACTCCTAGAAAGGAATAAATGGGTTGGGAGTACAGGATGTGTCTTATCCTGTAAACACAGGGTGAACAAATATTGATTCAAATTCATACAAGGGGAGTTACTCTAATAGGTGCTTTCTGCCCCACACTTTTGGTTTTGTCTAAACACAAGAAATGGAGAGACTTACATTTTTAGTTGTACTATATTTAATCTTTGAACATGCTTTGCTGTTACTTTCCAGTATTTATTATCATTGCATGTAAAATAATAAACACATCATATGAATTTATTTTTGTGCAATTTATGCAAGTATTCTATTGTACTGAGTTCTGTTCTCTTCTCGATTTTTCAGATTGGTACAAGGGATACCTAGTAAGACACAAAGGGTTCGAGGTAAGGTTGTACTTTACATGCTTTGTAAGATTTTATGCTAAAAAGAAACAATTTTGCTTCTTGGTGTTAGTTTATTTCAGAGCTCTCAAAGAATCAAATCCTGATCAGTTAGCTCAACCATCTCATTCTGTTTTAGTTCAGTGGGACTCTACAAGGTTGGTAAGGTGAAAAGGATTTGACCTGAAACTTCTTCTTAAATATGAAGAGAAGAGAGGATTGTGCAAAACAGATCTAAGAGAAAAGAACTGCTGTGCTTCCAGGTCAAAAGCGCTGATGAAAATATGACCTGAAATACTTGATTAAAGTAAATTTATTGCAAAATTATAAAATATTGTAAGTGCTTTATCATTTGTTCCAAACATTCCAAAACCCAGATTCAATATAAACTCCTATCAAGCTTCAAGTTATTGGTTAGGTATGACAGTGCAAGCCTTAAACTGTGATTGTTTTGGTGGCTTGCACATGTTTCTCAATGTGGATGCTTCAGAGTTAATCTGAGCTCCTCTGGGAGGTACTGTATTATAAACAGTTGGCTTGTAGTTACTGTGTTAACTTCAACTTTCATTGTGTTGTGAATTCAAACATATCCTTGCAGGAAGTCATAACTGAAATGTGTTAACTTGTCATTTGACCTACTCAAGAACCTGAGTTCAGTAAAAGATACCTAGAGGTTTACTTGATTGTATTGAATTTGTCAAAGAGATGGACAAGTTTATTTGGGGGTTTGAGTGGAGGATAACACAGATTTTTTTTTTTTAATAAGTCCTCTATTCAGATAAAACACCGTGCAGACTACTAGGGAGCAGTAGTCAATATTGCAAGAGAGATACAATATTTGTAAATGTGATCAGCACTGCCTGCAGATGTACAAAAGTTTTAGAAAAGAGCTATCACAGAAAATGAATATATCCAAGAAGGACATTCCTAGTGTCAGTAAAGAGATGTTTGGGTCATTTAATATAAATGCCTAACCAAAATCCATGGAGGACCTTCTTAACAGGGTCTAATTCTTGTCCTATTTTCACTGCTCTGAATAGCCTGATCATCATGTTCTTAACAAGTTTCAAAACTACAGTCCCTAGGAGGGGCATGTTTCAGACACTGAAAACTAATTATGCTGTTAATACTTTCTGTGGATCCAAGTGCACACTAAAATGGCAAAAGCTATTATAAAGGAAATGCATAATCTTGTTAGTCTGGGGAAAGGGGATAAAAATCCTGTATAGCCACTTGCAGGAGGATGCTTGAGGACCAGGGGATACTTTTAAAAAGTATGGAAGACACCTTAGCCCACCTCCCCTGAACAGATTGATCCATGGATATAAGATTCAGCATTGAGCCGGCAGTTTCAGTCAATAGGCCATCTTGATTGGGTGTTACTATGAAGTAAGTGTTTAGTTTATCATCTGTTACTCTCCTTCATCTACTAGTTAAGTTTTTTAGTATTTGTCTTTGCTTCCCAATGCACCCACTTTTGGTCTAAATCTCACTTCATGTATCCTGAGTATGCAGCTGGTTTAGCACACTTCCTTGTGACTTCTGGTCAAGGTAGTCTGTGGGCAATAATTTTAGCTATTCTCAGGCAGGGGGATCCATCACCTACAATGAAATCAAACTTGAGCAGCATATATCTCTACCCTTGTTTCTTCAAATTTGCTGAGAACATTTTGCCCTGTGTGCAGATTAGTATATGTGAATGACTTAAACGTGTCTGCTGCTTGGCTCCACCAGAACTGGAACAGATTTGCATCTTTACCATCTATTTACTTACGGCTCTGTGATCTGTTTACATGGACATAATTACAACTTTAATGTTCTTAGATTAAGCATCTTTTAAATTGTTTTACAAATACCTAAAGAGAGAATCTTAAGCTGAGAAATGAATTACGCAGTTGGCGGGTGAGATCCAAGTTAAAGGTATTATATAAAACTTACCAGAGTCCTATAGGTTTGATTTTCTTTTATTAAAGTTCTTGTGGTGTCATGTTTTAAGCAAGTGAGTATCATAGACTCTAAGGTCAGCAGGGACCATTGTGATCATCTCGTCTGACCTCCTGCACATCGCAGGCCACAGAACCTCACCCACTCACTCCTGTAATAGACCCCCTACCCTCTGGCTGAGTCACTGAAGTCCTGTGTCAGTTATGGTATCAGTGCAAATGCTGTTTTCTTTATAAATATGTAGGATCTATTTATTCACATTCCTCGTGGTACTAAGCACTAAAAATAATGATGCTAATAGATGTGTAGGGCACCTGACTCCCCTGGTTCCATTACTAGCTGTTGCAGGTACCATGGCAGGCCCTCCAATGCTCAGGTATTGTATCAAGAGCAGGAGGTGATGCCTGCTGGGGCAATAGCAGCACCTCAGCAGAATCTTCATGAAGAGAATAGGCTGCTATCTGCATCTGTGTTGTCTGGATCAAGGTGAGGAAGCAGAGTTACTCTTCTTTCTCCCCATCCCCACACCCCCCTGACGTTTGAGCTGCTCCCTTTTTGAAGCTTCTCCTGCCCCAGGAGTTGCTGTTGCCATTAGTCCTTCACTCTGATAATGATTTAACAGATTAAAGTGAACCTGAAAATCCTGCTTTTAAAACATAGACCAGAACTAGCCACTGACTCATCCTTACCCTTTTTGAAATTCGGGTCAGTGAAAATTTTCATCCAGCTGCACTTGGACTATTTGCCTAAAATATTCTGAATTCAGCAAGGAATGTTTCTTAAACAGTTTGCGAGGTTTGTTTGCTCTCTCCATTCTTTGTACCCAAACAGACTCTCTTGTGTTGAGCATTAAACCCCAAAGGAATTGTATATGGCTGTCTTTTTCTTCCAAATGTTGTATAACTAATTCACCAAAATGTGCATATTAAAATGAATATTCATTAAGTTGGGGGGATATTGAACAGTATATTACACACTGCCACAGACTTGCTATCTGACGTGGGGGCAGTTTGTCATAAGATATGTGTAGAGGTGCCTAACTGAGCTTGCATGAGCAAACTTAATGCTAGCACTTCCTTATATTTGAAACTGAGACCTCAACTTTCTTTAATGTAGATTTTTGTATGTAACCTGCTTTGTAAATTCAGAAACCTGCACAGTTAAGTGCGCTGGAGACTCCTCTATGTAGTATCATGAGAGCTTCCCAATGAAACAAAAGGACCAAGAAACACTGATGAATGTATTCATCCTCCACCACCTTCAAAAAAGAGGTTCACTATCAGGACATATCCTGCAGAAAAGGCACCAGATGAGGTTCCATTACTTGATGTGTGTAGTACGAAAATCAGGCAGGTAACAACTTCAATTTCCAGCTTGAGCCAATCACTGGGCAAGAGAGCTGTGATATAGAAAGCCAGCACATCGTCTGTGACTGACACCTCAAATATAGCCAAATATGTTCCAGAGGTTTAAAACATTTTTAGTACATCTCCAAGATGAAATCTAGAGCGAGAGCCATTTGAAATTAAAGGGTGTTCCCAGGAAAGTCTGAAAGGCTTAACCTCTGGAATATATTAGGCTACATTTGATGTCAGTCACAGATGTTGTGCTGGTTGTAATCCCTTTAAAGTCCAAAGAAATCCTAGCTCTGTTACCATATCTGGGCATATCAGCAGCTTTGCTTCCTCGAAAGACCAAACTGAGAGAGTCAAAGGTTCCTTGAGGATATGTATCACATGAACTAACCTTGCCTGCTCAGCAGTTGTCTGCAGAGGTCAATTAGCGATAAGAAAATCAAATCTGTTATTTGAGGAAAAATCCCTTGCTACAGCATGTGCCTGGCATCTTGCTAGGCATTGCTGATATCTTGGTTGTTTGTGGGCACATCTGGTTGTGGGTGTAGAAGACATATGGTCAGATTAAATGGCTTCCTTTATCCACAAAGTGTAAGGAAGGGAAGCTCTTTCGGTTTCGTTCAAGAAACTCTTCACACCCCTCACAGCCTTAGCCCCACGCTGTGAGCTCGACATTTTGTAGGGTGGTAGGGATGGGCTACTTGTCACAAAAGCCATTTATTGGGCAGAGGTGATTGGGTCCACTAGGTCATTGTCTTCCCTTCAGACTGTTGCTCCTTCACTTAAATGGAAGTGCCAATTATATACTCTACCAGTTCTTTCGGCTGTTTCCCTCAGCCCACTAACATTATTGATCTTGTCCAGATTATGTTTATAGATGAATTTTAAATACTGAAGGGATCATTGTGGTGGTCTAGTTTGACTGCTTGTATAACGTGAGCTACAGGACTTGACTGAACTAGAGCATATTTTATAGAATAAATCCAATCCTGATGTTCATAGGAATAGAGAACCCTCTCCTATTTATCAACATCCTTCCAGAATTGTGGACTCTAGATCTGAACATGTGATTCCAGTAGCAGTTGCACCAGTGCCAAATACAGAGATAATATAGCCTTCCTACTCAAGATGTCTGTGTTCATACATCCAAGGATCACATTAGCTCTTCTGTGGCCACAGCATTGCTCCGGGAGCTTGTGTTGAGCTGATTATCCACCATGACAGCCAAGACTTTTTTAAAATCCAGTGTGTCCCAGGATAAAGAGTCTTGTGAGGATGGCCTATTTTCTTTGTTCCTAGGGTATGACTTTTTACATCTGTTGGTCTTAAAATGCATGTTGCTGGACCCTTGCTTACCAAGCAATTCAGATTACTCTGTGTCAGTGACTGGTCATTATTTACCACTCTGCCAATCTTTGTCACCTGCAACCTTTATCGATAATTTGCTTTTTCTTCCAGATCACTGATGAAAAGGTTAAATAGTATAGGACCAAACGCAACCCCTTCAGGATCCCTCCCCAAAACACACCAGCTTGATAATGATTCCCCTTTTAAGAAAGGCTATGCTGGGTAAGACCAATGGTCCATCTAGCCCAGTATCCAGTCTCTCATAGTGGCCGGTACCAGATCCTCCAGAGGGAATGAACAGAAGAGTGGAATTCTGAGTGATCCATCTCTTGTCATCTAGTCCCAACTTCCAGTAGCTGGAAGTTTAGGTACACCCGGAGCATGGTATTGTGTCCCTGACCACCTTGGTTTACAATTAGAAAAATGAACATAACACACAGAGTGGATTGAACACTGGCTAACTGATCGGTCTCAAAATGTATCATTCTAGTTGAATCAAAATTTTGTACAGTACCAAGTCAATTGACTTCCGTAAATCTAAGAGTTCACTTCAGCACTATTACCTTATCAACCAAACTTGTAATCTCTTAAAAATATCTGGTTGTAACCAAACAATATTTATCAAAGTTCACAGTTCACATAAATAATTACTTGTTTACTTCCCGAAAGCCTTGTGAGCCTCTTGGGCAGGAGGGGTGACTACAGATACTTACTTAGTGTCTTGCAGTAGGAAGTCTTTGTGGCACAGTACGAATTGCACACAACTGCCTTAAGGAGAAGCAGAATTGATGTGTAAAGGGAAAATGTCCATTTATAGTACATCACCATCGTTGGAGGACTTCAAGACACATTTATGGTCTGATTTCTATGGTTAATAAAAAAGGGAAATCACTATGTTAATAGCATGGTTTAGTGTTTTGGAATAACTTGAATTTATTGTTTTAAGAAACATTGGAGTAGAATGACAAATGTGTGTTGTTTTTGGTTTTGTTTCCAATAGGGAATATTTCCTAAGTCTTTTATCCGCATCAAAGAAGTTACTGTTGAAAAGAAAAGGTATTTCATTGTCATTGTTGCGTATGGTTAACTGATGTTAATGAATTTTATACTGCATCTATCTAAAATGAAAGTAGATATCTACTTGTAACATGACTCTTCAGTTTATACTGGGCTTTTATTAGTTGGGAAGTGGGAATGGAATAACTGAATTGTGAACACACTTGCAATCCCATTAAAAAGGAATAAAAATGTCTGGTTTGTTTTAACTATACAAGCTAAGGAGACCGAGAATGTAGGTATTAAGTCACTTTGCCTTCCTAATGGAAGGATCATCACTGTCTAAGAAATAAGTTCTAGGACATTAAGTGACAAATACTTCACAGTTGGTTTGTTAGGTTTTAGTCATGTTAATTTGTCACTTTTCCCCTTCTGCTTAGAAATACAGAGAACATCGTACCTGCTGAAATTCCATTGGTGCAAGAAGTTACCACTACACTATGGGAATGGGGCAGCATTTGGAAACAACTCTATGTGGTGAGGGGAAGTTTTTGCCTGACTAAAATTAGATGGCAGATTGGCAAGAAAAATGCTTGGGATCCAGGGATGCTACATTTGCATGTTAAATAGGTTTATTTATATGTATCAAGCTGTCATTGTAATTCCCTTTGTTTTATTTCTGGAGTACAAGGCGGGATTTGAGAGAAGATTTAATTAAGAAGTGATTTCTTCATCTGAGTATTTGGATCAATACAGTGTTCTCCAGTAGTATTAAAATAAAAGATATGGCTTATAATTGTTGTTTAGAAGTAGTCAAACTTCATACTATTAGCTAATTAGTCTCCTGTGTCTGGCTCATTTTGCATAACATATTTGGCCTATGCAGTATTTGGCCTGCGCTTCAAGGAGGAGGAAGCAAGGAGAACTGATCAGGAAACTTGCAATAGACTTTTTTTGTCTGAAAATGGTAAATTCTCAAAACTGACACTTGTTTGTTTGTTGGGAAGGTTTCTCTGAGCCAGGATAGAGCTTTTTGCAGACATGGGGGGGATCAGATGGGTAAAGACCAGAATAGGCAATTTGTTAGGACACTCACTTTCGATGTGTGGACCTTGATTCAAGACTCTCTTCCGAATATCATCCAGATATTGGTCTGACCAGTGCAGGATACAGATGTAATATCACCTTCCTTATTCCAGTTCTCTAGCTGGGGCTTTCTTCTCCTGCACAATGAGTACCCTTTAAATAACACTGTAAAATGCACAAAACAAAACTACTCCTAACGGCCACCAAATCACACAATTACCACCCCTGGGCTTTGAACCCTTAGCAATGTAGAGGTTAAACTATTTTGAATTGAATGCCTAGTACACAAAATGAAGGACAATGTAGGAAGCTGAAATGAAACCAAGCCCTCAACGGTGAACATTTTGTGTTTCAGACAAACAAAAAAGAGCGGTTCCAGCAGATGCAATCTATGATGTATGACCTAATGGAGTGGAGGTCACAGCTTCTATCGGGAACACTGCCTAAAGATGAACTGAAAGAACTCAAACAGAAAGTCACGTCCAAAATTGACTATGGCAACAAGTAAGTGTTTTCCTTGCGCTAAACTAGTACTGGGAACAACTACTTTATTTGCAGACATGTCACTGCTATAGAGTTGGGGGCAAATTTTCCCTGCTTCTGTGTCCCTACCTGGTGAATATTGGGTGCCTACCCATCCTTTTTATCAGACCACTCTCCAACAATCCCTGCTGCAGCAGCAGACTCCATGGTCCCTTGCAGTCATGGTTATCCTTTCTTGAACAGGGCCATCCAGAATTTTCAGCTGCTCCCCTGTTTGGAATCAAACTTTTCAGGATGCATGATCTCTGTTGCTTACGCAGACACATAGGCATATTGGAAGGATCAGTTCTAGGTTGGGCAGTTGTCACTCATATTCATATCCACTTAATATATTCAATCTGAACATCTTCACACATGCCTCACAAACAAAGGCAAGCTCCAGTCCCATACAAGATACCTGGTGGTTGTAATACCATGCTGCCCCCTGAACAAGGTTGCTGAAATATGATGGTCATGGGTAAAGTATAAGAACCTGAAGTGAACAAAATCCTGACGAAGGTGATGAGAGGGGAAAAAATGAATTTTGAAGTTTCCAGGCCAAGCACGTTGAGATTGAGTCCGTTTGGGAACCTGGTAACACAAATGAAACATCTGTGGGTTTGATGGTAGCTTCACTAATACTTTGATTGCTTCTCATTGATTCAGAGCCACCACAGCATAGCTCAACTGGCAAGCCCAGAGCAATACAGGGCAGAGCTGAGTGGTGTTGCCTTGCCTGAGATGCGAGTGAGCTTTGCAAACCAGTTTCCACTATTGGGTGACAGACTTTTTTTGCCTCTGTCGATTACTTGTACCTTTGAACTGTTGCAAATGGCTCTGGTAGTGGCAGTTCCAGGGTCTGTGTGTGACTGAACATTATGGGCTCTCTGTGGCCTGCATTTACTGTAACTTACGCAGCTGACATTAGGTGCCAGGGAAATGTGTACCTAGCCTACAGTGATTGTACCCACAGAATCAGGGATTAAATTGCCCTCTGGTTCAGATGGGGGAAAGCTATTTTTTGTAGGGAAAGAGGTGGTTTTGCTCAAGGTAGCTTGTTTTCATTTACGGAGTGAGACCCCGTTCTGATTCAGACACTGCTGGTTACCACTGGACCACGTTTCTCCTGAGTCTACCCAGGAGCTTACATGGGTGTCGCTTTTAATATAAACATATTCAGCCGTTTTCCACTTAGGTCTGAACATGTTAGTTTGGGGATAGTACATGGAGCTGGATCATCTGAGATACAATGTAGCATAACAAAGGTTTCAAATTAATGAATAATGGACTTAATGATCCCTTAAGACAAATTGTGCATTCACAAGGCTTGAGTAAACAACACAAAAGTACAAAGCATGAGTAATTAATGTCTGAATCAGACATTTTCACAAATGTATCTCACGAGCTCTGATTTAATTCAGAGGAAATGTTTTTTTCAATTGATATTTCAGTTGCTTTTGTCAAAGTAGATGGTGGTGTTTTATGTTGACATTAACAGAATTATTAACTGGAGCTCTTAAAACCCTGCCCCCACTCCAGCTTCAAATCCTCTACCATCTGTAGACTCAACGGAAACATGATGCAGGTGCAGAGAGAATATTTTCTTCTTTTCATTCTGTTTAGCTGGTTCAATTCAATGACTTGTTCATTCAAAGTTAAGAAACCAACTGGAAGTTGAAAAAGCAGGAAAGCTTGTTTTCTTCTTACAATATATGAATAAATACTAGGTGTGAGAGGATGACATCTAACACTTTTAAAATATTGAAGGACATGGTGACCAGACACTGAGTTCAATTCATTAACTAAAGATGATAATTCCTTTGTATAATCATTTTTAAATGAAAAACATGTTTAAGAAAAAAAATACTAATCTATCTAGCACTCTTATGATAGTTTTACTTAACATTTTAAAATGTTTTTTACATTTTAATTGAATTTGCATTTCCATCCAAATAAGCTTAACATAAATCACAGGGAAGAAATTAAATCATGTAGTAAATAAGAAATACACCATTCACCATTGTTTAACATAATCAAAACGTAAAAAAAAGCATCTGAATAAAATAAGGTAAGCTATACAATTGCCTAAATAAATGTGTATCGATATAGTGCGTTGTCCTGGTTAGCAAAAAGAAGCATCAAATGTAGTGTAAAGACTGTCGTTAGTCACAAATAATGTTTCAATGATTCCCAACTAATGAGAATCAACGTTTCCTTTGGAAAATAACTAAAAAGTACAAGTGCAGAAGCTGATTAAAATCAATAATTTAAATCAAGGTTCCCTGCTTGCTGATTGAAATCACAATGACAATTGTAGGTTTCAGAGTAACAGCTGTGTTAGTCTGTATTCGCAAAAAGAAAAGGAATACTTGTGGCACCTTAGAGACTAACCAATTTATTTGAGCATAAGCTTTCGGTAACTACAGAGCTCACAAAAGCTTATGCTCAAATAAATTGGTTAGTCTCTAAGGTGCCACAAGTACTCCTTTTCTTTTTGCGAATGACAATTGGTAATTTAACATTTTGAATTTAAATCTGTCAGCCCTGGGGGAGGCTCAGGTGTTGGGGGTGGAGGGTGCCCGTCTGAGAGGGGGGAGTGATGAATTGCTGTGGGCACAAAAGAGGAGTGAGGAGGTGCTAGGGGCAGAATGGGTCACTGGGGGTTGCTGGGGTGCGAGAAAAATAGTGCTGGGGCACAGACTGTGTTTGTTCCAAAGAAAGCAGGGCTCTAAGAACAAGATAGAACCTGGAAGGGGGCAGATTTCTATATATGGAAGACACACCCTATGGTGAGAGTGTGGAGTCTTGAGAGAGTGCCTCCCCTTTTCTCTACTCAGGGTCTCAATCTTGGTGGAGGGGAGAATCAGTGGGTAAGGGATCTGGAGAGGAGGAGAGTTCCAAGACAATGGTGAAAGAACCAAGGAGAATGGAGAGGGTGGGAAATGTTTGGCAGAGGAATCGAATTTGGCAGAAAGGGTTGAAGCCAAATGGAGCACACTGAGAGGGTAGAACAGAGTGACATGAAATAGGAGGGGACAGACAGAGATACTTCATCACTCTACTGGGGAAGGCTTATACCCTAATAAGGAAGAAGAGGCAAAGTCTTCATGAAGTCAACTCGTGGTCTGGCTATTGCTCAATTTTATTTTACACGATAGGCATTTGGATGCTGTAAGGATAGGTGGCAGTATAAAACCCTAATATGGGTATGTAAAGGGAAAACCAAAGCTTGAAAAAAACTGTGAGGAAAGATGTTTAGGTTTTTTTTCCTTACTTTTGTTGAAGATACTGAGCATCATCAGATGTATTACTTAAATTATGTATGTTCTCCTTGTTTTATTAAACTGAACTGACTGCTTCAACATTCCAAGCAGCTTATTATGAATCCCATTTCAAAAACTGTCAGTTGAATGTAATTTGTTCGAGAAGAGAATAATCCCATTTTATGGAGTGATTTTTTTTCAATCTCCACAGGATACTTGAGCTAGATTTAATAGTTAGAGATGAAGATGGAAATATCTTGGATCCAGATAAAACCAGCGTCATTAGCCTATTTCATGCACATGAAGAAGCTACTAATAAAATTACAGAGCGAATTAAAGAAGAAATGGTATGAACAATTTGCCAAAATTGGCCTTTCCTTTCAGAAAATGTTAATTCAGTTTACAGGGTGTTACCTGTTTGTTTAAACTTGACTTTTCTCCCAGTAAAACCAATGGAAGTTTTGCCACCAATTTAAAGGAGCAGTTTCTGATCCCTAGTTGATAAATTATGGAACATGTCACCTCAGCTGTAAATATTTACTTTGTTTTACCAGACTTTGTCAAAATTTGCCTAACAGTGACTTCAGCAAGTTTCTCTGTGCATTGAATAAGATGAAAAAGGGCAACTGTTGATCTAACCCAACAACTGAAGAATAGACATGAGTGTTAATGACTGGCACTGGATTAAATACCTGGGCAAAGATGTCAAATCTCAATGCCTAAAATAAGATTCTTAAATGAATGGCTAGCCTCTGATGTGGTTTGACTTCCACAACTGATAGTTTGTAGAATTAGAGCAGAAGAACATAAGAATGGCCTACTGGGTCAAACCAAAGGTCCATCTAGCCCTGTATCCCACCTTCTGACAGTGGCCAGTGCCAGCTGCCCCAGAGGGAATGAACAGAACAGGTAATCATCAAGTAATCCATCCCCTGTCACCCATTCCCAGCTTCTGGCAAACAGAGGCTAGGGACACCATCCCTGCCCATCCTGGCTAATAGCCATTGATCGACCTATCCTCTATGAATTTATCTCGTTCTTTTTTGAAGCCGGTTATAGTCTTGGCCTTCACAACATCCTCTGGCAAGGAGTTCCACAGGTTGACTGTGTGTTGTGTGGAAAAAATATTTCCTTCTGTTTGTTTTAAACCTGCTGCCTATTAATTTCATTTGGTGGGCCCGAGTTCTTGTGTTAGGAGGAGGAGTAAATAACACTTCCTTATTTACTTTCTCCACACCAGTCATGATTTTATAGACCTCTATCATATTCCTCCTTCGTCCCTTTTCCAAGGTGAAAAGTCCCACTCGTCTTCATACGGCAGTCATTCCAAACCCCTAATACTGTGTTGCCCTTTTCTGAGCCTTTTCCAATTCAAATATATCTTTTTTGAGATGGGGTGATCACATCTGCATACAGTATTCAAGATGTGGGCGTACCATGGATTTATATAGAGGCAATATGATATTTTCTGTCTTATTATCTATCCCTTTTTAAATTATTCTCAACATTCTGTTCGCTTTTTTGACTGCCATGCACGTTGAGTGGATGTTTTCAGAGAACTATCCACAATGACTCTAAGATATCTTTCTTGAGTGGTAACCGCTAATTTAGACTCCGTCATTTTATATGTATAGTTTGGAATGTGTTTTCCAGTTGCTGCTCCTATTGAATTTTGGCCACTTACCTGGGACTTAGGAGCTTTATTTAGATACCAAGTCTTGAAAATACTGGCCATGGGATATAAGCTGCTGCCAGTTAGTTGGTCTGACTCTGCCAAAAGGTTGAATGCGTATGAGAGAGGAAGTGGGTAAACTTAACAACTCTTGGCATGCTTGCTGATGATGTCAGGGTCTACATGATCAGAGCACACACATAATCTGCAGTCACATTTTAAAACATGGCTCACATGATTACACTTCATTGTCTTTATAAATATTAAATTTATCCCAAGAACTATCAAGTGACATAAGGTTTGGTCTTTTTTTTTCTTATTGATCACAATGTAAATCAAATGAGGCATATGTTAAAGAAGAACAAAATGTTTGAGTGAATTATGAAATCTCCAAATCATGACTACCATGAATAATGCATCGTAAATCAATATTTAACACCACATTCCTTGTTGTCAGTCAGAAGCTCAGTTGAATAAACAGTGCTTCCCAAATGTGGAAAGGTCATCACTAAGCAATACAAGACAGATTAAAGCCCTGCTAACCTGAGTCACTTCTAGAGAATTGTATTGTATTCTTTCTTTAAACATGTAGTGCAAGGTGCAATCACTGATTAAAACATCAGAGGGTCTCATATATACTTACTTTAAGGACAGTCCAGGAACAGATTCACCGCTCATCACCTTGTTCATACAGGCTGTGTATGTGAGTGAACATCTTATGCACCGTCCAGCATTTTAGGAATGTATGGAGCAGTGGTTAGGTGCTAGGAAAGACTGTAAAGTGTGATAAATGTTTTAGGCTAAATTCTACCCCACTATGTTCCTTAAATTGAGAGCAGAACTGGGCCATTTTCAGACAAACCTTGAGTATGGAGCAGAAAGTGCAGGTCTTGCTGGCATTCAAATTAGTTTGGTCAAATTAATAATTTTCCTCTTTCTGTGTGTAGTCAAAAGATCAACCGGACTATGGAACATACTCCCGAATCTCCTCATCCCCCACGTACAGCCTTTACGTCTTTGTAAGAAATTTTGTATGCCGAATAGGAGAAGATGCAGAACTCTTCATGTCATTATATGATCCCCAGAAACACACAGTTATAAGGTAGGCTATATTATTTTCCTCGGGAGAATAAATAGTAAAGTGAGTTGCTCAAACTGGAGAGGGAGTGTAATGTCCAATGTACACACAAAGGGGAAAACTGTAAAAGAAAGTTTTAGAAGGAAAAACCACATGCACTGCTGGAATCTAGTGATGCTAGGCTGGAGTATTGTGTAATAGCAAACAACTAAACTATATTGAGAGCAAATGGACCAGATGGTCTTGGCTTGAGTGTGCTCTGAAATCTTAAGTGACTGCTGATATTGCTTCAGAGCTGACTGATTTCCACATTGTGTAGGATTTCTTGAGCAAAGATTAATGAAATGTTAAGTCAGTTTTAGAGTTTGTTCAGTCTTCGTTTGGAATAACTACTTGCAGTCGATGTAGCAAGTGAGGCATCAAATGTTGTGAGTTCAGTATGATTGGTCTAAGTCCAGCCTTAACCACTCAATCAAAACAGTAACGCATTTGGGCAGAAGCTGAGCTGTTTGTTCAAATGTGTACAAAAATAAAAGTCAAGGTCACTGTTATCGCTGGTAGGCAGACAACCTTGAGGCAGCTACAGAGATTCAGTAGATGGACAGTTTGCTGCTGTGAAAAATGTTTCTTTGCCTCATTGCCAAAACAGAAGCTTTTGCAACAGGCAATGGAGAATACAAACATCTGACCATCAACAGCTAAAATGTGTTTAATTATGAGAGTTTCCATCACCTTGACTACCAATGCCTAGGTGATAAGTATGGAAGAAATTCTATTGATGGGAAAAGCAGGGGATTATGTTTATATGTAGGACCATATAGGAGAATCAAATAATACTGGATTTTAGGATCAGGACTGGAGCGACAGAACACTTACATAAGACGTACACACATGCTCCCTTTCTATTGAGCAATTCTTATATTTGGGTTATAAATTAATCTGACAAGTTCTCAGATTTGAAGATTGCTGTACTGGATTCATTCTTTGACGAATTGTCTGTTTTTTGGGAAAAAGTTTGACAAAACTAGCAATGTGCTGTAAACTTGCATAAGGAGACTTTTTTTCTCTTTTCCGAATGGGAAGACAGCAAACAATGGGTAAAATTTAAAAGGGGCAAATCCCTAAATGCTGGGTGCAGGGGAACCCAGTAGAGTTCCAGCTCTTTGCCCTTGAGATCTTGGCCTTTTGTGGCTTTGTAGCAGTGCATATCCTACTACCTTCTTCAATCAGTTACTCTGGGCAAGGCCTTCTGCTGCTACAAAGAAGGTGGGAGAGTGGTGGTTGTTGGTAACGGGATAGCACCTATAGGCCCTACTGTGCTAGGTGCTGTACACACATGTAATAAAGAAGACAGCCTCTAATGCCAAGGAGCTCACTGACCAGGCACATGAAGGCAACAGGAGGTGAAAAACAAACAAATGGGGTCCAAGAGGAGAAAAAAGAAGTACTGAAACTATTATTTTAAGTATAATAAACTGCGCTAATAGGACACACACTCTTTAGTCACTGTTCAGAAATTAGTAGGTATTGAAACCAGGTAAATTCAAGGATGTACAGAAGGAGAACAATGTAGTAGCATTGCCATTTTTTCATTTGGGAGTTGTTCACATGCATAGGGATGGGGGTTCCACGACCACCACTCCCAAAAGGAGGAGGAAGGTGGTGGTGGTTGGACTCCCTCCAAAGGGGGACTTGGTCATGTGTCTGCTGTCCTGACTGGGAAAGCCAAGAAGTGTGCTGCTTGCCAGGAGCTAGGATTCACGATGTGACGGAGAGACTACCAAGACTCCTCAAGCCCTCGGATCGCTACCCCTTCCTGCCTGTCCATGTGGGCACCAATGATACTGCCAAGAATGACTAAGCGGATCACTGCAGACTACGTAGCTCTGGAAAGAAGGATAAAGGAGCTTGAGGTGCAAGTGGTGGTCTTGTCTATCCTCTCTGTGGAAGGAAAAGGCCTGGGTAGAGACTGTCGAATCATGGAAGTCAATGAATAGTTACGCAGGTGGTGGTGAAGAGAAGGCTTTGGATTCTTTGATCATGGACTGGTTTCCAAGAAGGAGGATTGCTAGGCATAGACGGGCTCCACCTAACAAAGACAGTGAAGAGCATCTTCGCAAGTAGGCTGGCTAAACTAGTGAGGAGGGCTTTAAACTAGATTCACTGGGGAAAGGAGACCAAAGCCCTGAGGTAAGTGGGGAAGTGGGATACCAGGAGGAAGCATGAGCAGGAGAGCACAAGAGGGGAGGACTCCTGCCTCATACTAAGAAAACTCGCTGATCATCCTGCAAAAAGCCTGGGAAACCAGCAGGGAGAACTGGAAGTCCTGACACAGTCAAGGAATTACGATGTGGTTGGAATAACAGAGACTTGGTGGGATAACTCGCATGACTGGAGTACTGTCATGAATGGATATGAACTGTTCAGGAAGGACAGGCAGGGCAGAAAAGGTGGGGGAGTTGCATTGTATGTAAGAGAGTAGTGTGACTGCTCAGAGCTCCGGTATGAAACTGCAGAAAAACCTGAGTCTCTGGATTAAGTTTAGAAGCATGAGCAACAAGGGTGATGTCGTGGTGGGAATCTGCTATAGACCACCAGACCAGGGGGATGAGGTGGACGAGGCTTTCTTCCGGCAACTCGCAGGAGTTACTAGATCACAGGCCGTGGTTCTTGCAGCCTCCCAATATCTGCTGGGAGAGCAATACAGCAGTGCATAGACAATCCAGGAAGTTTTTGGAAAGTGTAGGGGACATTTTCATGGTGCAAGTGCTGGAAGAACCAACTAGAGGCAGAGCTCTTAACCTGCTGCTCACAAACTGGGAAGAATTAGTAGGGGAAGCAAAAGTGGATAAGAACCTGGGAGGCAGTGACCATGAGCTGGTTGAGTTCAGGATCCTGACACAAGGAAGAAAGGAGAGCAGCAGAATATGGACCCTGGACATCAGAAAAGCAGCTTTTGACTCCCTCATGGAACTGATGGTCAGGATCCCCTGGGAGAATAACATGAAGGGGAAAGAAGTCCAGGAGAGCTGGCTGTATTTTAAAGAATCCTTATTGAGGTTGCAGGAACAAACCTTCCTGATGTGTAGAAAGAATAGTAAATATGGCAGGCGACTAGCTTGGCTTAACAGTGAAATCCTTGCTGATCTTAAACACAAAAAAGAAGCTTACAAGAAGTGGAAGATTGGACAAATGACCAAATCACATACAAGGTCAGCTCCCAGACTATGGCAGTGGGCAGCACAGTATGAGGAGGAGGTGACCAGCTCTCTGTGGAGAAAAGAAGTGGTTTAGGACTAAAGTAACTCACTTAGTCGTCCCGGTTAATGTTGTTTCGTCGTTGCTGATCAGTTAGGGAATATGCTCATTTAAAGTTGTGCAATGCTCCCTTATAATGGTTGCTTGACGGCTGCCTGCTTTGTCCACTACTTGCAGGAAGAGCAGCCGGTTGCAGCTAGTTGATGGGGGCTAGGAACCAGTGTGGACTGGCAGCCCCTAATCAGTTCCACGCTCCCCTAAGTTCCCTGTGCAGCAGCCACCCAGCAGGCTACCAATTACCAGCAGATCAGCTGTCCCTCCCTGCACTGCCATGTGCTGCTCCTGCCCTCTGCCTTAGAGCTGCTCCTGGGAGCCTCCTGCTTGCTGTGTGGGGGAAGGGGGCTAATGTCAGGGTGTCCCCCTCCCCACTGCCCCTGCCCCAGCTTATCCCTTCTCCATACAGAGCAGGGTGGGGACAGGGCAGGGCTCAGGATGGAGCCCACAGCTGCTGTTTCAACTTCCTGATCTTTTTAAAGGCAATGTACTTAGTTGGGTCAGCATACTTAAAGGGGCAATGCACATCTCTCTCTCTCTCTCTCTTCTCCCCCCCCCCCCGAACACACACATGGTGTGTGTCTCTGTCTGCCATGCTGTCTCCCCTCCCTCCATTCGTGCTGCCTTGTCATGTGTGAGGCTACATTAACAACAATGGGTTAACCCTTGAGGCTCAGCCGAGTGCTAGTTCATCATTTAGCAGTAAGGCATTCCCTGGGAAATATCCCACCCTCCTCCACCCTTTGACTTCACCACCTCAACTTCACAATCACCATTGCTGTGTATAGTATTCAACTGTTTTTTTAAAACTTCTACTGTGTGTGTATATATGTGTGTGTATGTATATAATTTTTTGTGTGGTGACCTTTTTTTTCCCTGGAACCTATTCCCCCTTATTTACATTAATTGTTATGGGAAAGTAACATTGTTTTGCTTAAAGTTGCATTTTTCAAGAATATAACTACAACATTAATCGAGAAGTTACTGTATTTAGAAAAGCTGGATCCTGCACTTAGGATGGAAGAATCCCATGCACTGCTACAGACTAGGGACTGAGCGGCTAGGCAGCAGTTCTGCAGAAAAGGACCTGGGGATTACAGTGGATGAGAAGCTGGATACGAGTCAACCTTGTGCTCTTGTTGCCAAGAAGGCTACCCACATTTTGGGCTGTATAAGTGGGGCATTGCCAGCAGGGACATGATCATTCCCCTCTATTCGGCATTGGCGAGGCCTCATCTGGAGTACTGTGTCCAGTTTTGGGCCCCACACTACAAGAAGGATGTGGATAAATTGGAAAGCATCCAGCAGAGGGCAACAAAAAGGATTAGGGGGCTGGAGCACATGATTTATGAGGAGAAGCTGATGGAACTGAGATTATTTAGTCTGCGGAAGAAAAGAATGGGGGGGGGTTTGATAACTGCTTTCAACTACCTGAAAGGGGGTTCAAAAGAGGATAGATCTAGTCTGTTCTCAGTGGTACCAGATGACAGAATGAGGAGTAATAGTCTCAAGTTGCAGTGGGGGAGGTTTAGGTTGGATATTAGGAAAAACTTTTTCACTAGGAGGGTGGTGAAGCACTGGAATGGGTTACCTAGGGAGGTGGTGGAATCTCCTCCTTTAGAGGTTTTTACAGTCAGGCTTGACCACTTCTCTTGGTAGTTCATTCCGAGGGGTAATTTGAGGTGGTTTAAAAAAAAAAAGTAATCATAATTACATAAATACTTTGTTGAGGTGGACTTACTCCATGGAAGATGAAGTTCATTTCTTTGTTTTGGCTTTCAAATGAGTGGTGCTTTCCCTTGGATATTTCCATCTGCGCTTATACAATCTTGGGAGGTTGGTGGATGTACTGTGATGGATTGGGCTTCTAATTGTTTTTCATTCATGCATTGTTGCAAGAAGTGAGAGATACTGGTTACTTTTCGGCACATGTGCAGGAGCCGGACTTGTAAACATAAACCTACAACATATTTTGACAAATGATTAAGTCTTCTGTGTTTTAAGCCTATACATTCAAATAGTCAAAAACAAAATATTAAAAATTGATGATAATGGGGCTGATGATGTTTCATATTTACTCAGATACAATAGAAATGGAATTTTTTTTGCTTAGCGTTTTAAAATGATTTTGGATCCCTGTTTTTGGGCACAAAAATGGCAACACAATATTTTCTTTGGGATGTGTACTTAGGAAAAAACGTTCAGTGACTGGAACAATGCGAAGAGTGAGGGAAATCGTCAAATCATGCATAATGAATCTAAAGATGTGGTACTGTATGGTATTCTCTTATGTGTTTTGTATTAAGCAGTACTACAGTACTTAATGACACATGGTGAAGAATTTTGTTAAATGACATTAACAAATTATTTCTTTCTCTCTTTAAACAGTGAGAATTACTTGGTGAGATGGGGGAGTAAAGGTTTTCCAAAGGAGATTGATATGCTCAACAATCTGAAAGTGGTGTTCACTGTGAGTAAACATTTTTCATATTTGACTAGATTTTGAATTTGCAAATAGGATTCTCATTTCTGATGATCACTCCCAGAATTTTTTGTGTTTTGGGGGAAGGCTTGAATGACCTCAGAAAGGAAGTTTAGTCTGAGTAATTAAATGGAGAGGAGCATTTGCAAACTAACTTTGTTTGGATCTGAGTTTGCCTCCTACTATGTCATGTTTGATTAACCGGTCTTACTACTTAAATGATTTTCACTTCAAGTCCAATTAAGTTGGCTCATTACAAGTAATAATTTTAAGATGGAGGATATTTGTGCACTCTGCTTATGGTTATATGAGCAAAAGGGTATATGAATGACCTAGTAGGACAGACAGAAATTATTTAGATGAAGCTGTTTGACATTTATTCATGTCTCTGATTTGTCAAATTATTTGGCAAAAGTTAATGTTCATACCATTACTGATGCAAATATCAAAATCTAGTAGAATTTCAGTACTAAACCTGTAGACAGATGTTGTATAATAAGCAGGGGGATGTAGATATCAATCAGGCATTCATATTGCAGAACAGTAACCAGTGATTCATGACATAAATATGTAAAGAGATGAAGACATCACTAAATCAGTGTCACTGAATAATAATGAAAAAATTATCTAACCAACATAGTGACTTAGTTTCCCCAATCAAATGAACCTGAGGAACCTTGGAAGAGCCTTCATATTTGGAAATTCTCCTTACACGGTTAATGGGAACTTACTAAAAATGATAAACAACCATGCATATATTCGTAAATTATTTTCAGTGTAATGTTAAGGGTGTAAACTACATAATGTCCGTAAATACTCAGAGGTGAAAAAAAGTGGTGGATGATATAGTTGTGGTAGGAGAGAATTTCTGAAAATTTTTTTCTTTTAGAACCAGATAATTTTGAGGCTCTATAATGTGTCTTCCAAGTGTGTCTCTAGTCTACTGAAAGAGCTGCTACTCAAACCCTAATTCTCAGCATCATAACTTGAAGCTGGACTTAAATGTTTTGCTGAGTTAAACTGGGTTAAGTACACATGATTAACTTTAGTGGGGCTTAATGTGCTTAAAGTGATGTTGAAAGTCATATTGAAGCCACAAGCGGAGAATATTATCGCTGAAGAACAAGCTGGCTTTCATGCTGAAGAAGCACCACAGAACAGATTTTCAACTTTCATGTTCTATGTGAGAAGTACTTACAACACCAGCAAGACATCTACCATGTCTTTATTAACTTCAAGATGGCGTTTGACAGAGTATGGCATGAAGCTCTCTGGGCAACCATGAAGTACAGTGTTGGTTGTAAGCTTATTCCAACCATTAAACAACTGTATTCCAAGGCCAGCAGTGCAGTTCTCATCAATGGCACAACAGGAAAGTGGTTTTGCATCTGATGAACTGGGTTTTAGCCCACGAAATCTTATGCCCAAATAAATTTCTTAGTCTCTAAGGTGCCACAAGGACTCCTCGTTGTTTTTGCTGATACAGACTAACATGGCTACCGCTCTGAAACATATCACTGTCAGTCGACAAGAGCTGGAGACAGTGAAACAGTTAAAGTATTTCACTGATGAAAGATCAAAGGCAGAAACTCTGGCAAGAACTGCGCAAACAGCAGCAGCAGTGGCAAAGCTAAAGCCATTTCGGAGAAATAAGAACTTCCAAACTGAAACTTCTGTATGCATGCAAGATGTGGACCCTTAAGGCAAAACTTGAATGGAAAATACAGATAGGAGAGAAGATACTTCCGTAAAATCCTGGGCATCTCCTACTTAAACCACATCACTAATGAAGAGGTCCGCAACATCATCACCCAATGTACTGGGTCATATGAAGACCTCCTGATGACAGTGAACAAGCGCAAGCTGAAGTGGTATGGTCATGTAACAAGATTATCTGGCCTATCCAAGATCATCCTCCAAGGGACAGTACAGGAAAAAAGAGGTGGACAGAAGAAGAGATGGATTGACAACATAAAAGAATGGACACGAATGGACGTTGCAGAGACTCAAGCACTGACACACAATTGTCAGGGGTGGAGACAATTGGTTGCTCATCAATGATGGTACCCCAACAACCAATGCGGTTATGGGAGTGATGATGAATGTGCTTAAAAGCTTAGTTGAACCAGAGCAAAATCTTCCTTCTCATATACATTTAAATCTTTGTACTACACCCCTACTTAATCTATGATAGCCTCTCTGACTGATGCCTTTAGCCCTGTCTACAATAAAGAGTATCTTTTAGATTCAGGAGCTTTTGCAGCACTAGCTCTTGGGTGAGTAGATTGCCAACGCCCTCACCATTTTATTTAGAATCACTGGTGTTAGCAATGCTGGACATTGCTGAAAAAATATATGGATATCTTTTGTCTCGTCTCATTCTCAGGTCTGTGCATTATTTGGAAAAGTCTCCAATTTCATGTATAACAGGGGCCTGATCCAAAGCTCACTGAAGTTGAGGGAAACCTGAATACCCTTTTTGTCCTTTCTTTGAAACTCATTTTAACATACCGTTTCCCACAGAATGTGAAATATCTCCTCCTCTTTCCTCACATGCACTGTTGCCCTGTGCAGCGTTTTCCTGAGAATGAGATGGTATCACCATGTATAAGAGCTTTGTGTTGGAAGTGTGTTGGGCACTGTGATGGTGCGATATAAATAAATGCCTGAATGCCCTATTTGTGAGATGAAGTTGCATAAGCCAAATCAAGTACAAGTATTGAGATGGTTAAGCTAAATTAAGCAGAAATATTTATCTTGAGTTAATTTGAAAGTGTACCATGAAATATAAATAAATATGGTGCACAACATGGATGAGTATATGTTGCTGTACTTCAGCATTTTGTGACTTACTTTAATTACACAGCCTTAACATTACATACATTGGTGTTTTTTAATTTCAAGAAGAGGGAAGGGGAAGAAAAGAAATTTGCCCTTTTCTGATATTTTAAATGTTCCCTGTTAGATTTCGAATTTGGCTTCTCATGAAGGTTAGTTGACTGGGAGAAGGGTCAGAGTTCAGACTTAATTAACTGATCACAGATGGGGGCATGGTGAGTTCTGACTTGAACTTCTGCTAATGTAAGCTAGAGGGCAGCCTTCTGCAGGCTGGGTTAAAAAGGCAGAAGCACATCAGTTTACTTGAAGGCTGATGTATTATTTCCACTGAATACATCCGATGAAGTGAGCTGTAGCTCACGAAAGCTTATGCTCAACTAAATTTGTTAGTCTCTAAGGTGCCACAAGTACTCCTTTTCTTTTTGCGAATACAGACTAACACGGCTGCTACTCTGAAACCTATTGCTAAGGCTGCGAGTTTGTCACAGAAGTCACAGATGCCGTGACTTTCTGTGACTTCCGCAGCTGGCTCTGAGCAGTCAGCCTCAGCCGCTGGAGCAGGGGCCAGCTATTGGCACCCTAGGGTCCCCCAGAGCAGCAGCACCTCAGGACCCCAGGAGCAGCTAAGTTTTAGTAGGGGTATTTATAATAAAAGCCATTGATGGGTCACAGGATGTGAATTTTTGTTTACTAAAAAATACCCTGCTAAAACTTAGCCTTACTAGTTGACAACAGAAAAAGTTAGACACAGAATTAAACTATTTCAATGCAAGAAATTTCTAGGGAGCAGAAAGAATGGCCAAGATCTCCTAAAATTATGGGACCTGTAGCTTTTCCATTCTTGTAGTGTTCTCCTTGTTTCTGATGCTAAGGCCATGATTTGACTGCATTAAAATGACATATTATTGCTCATGCAAATAATCCCTGATTTATGGAAGCCCAGTCCACCCCTGAGCTTTCTAGACTAGAAAGTTCTGACGATTAGTGTGATGTCATAAAGGGAGCTGGCCTTTTTGGGAAGGCGGAAAACTTTGCAGACAACACTGACTGTGCTTAATGATTTTATTTTCAGTTGGGCATACATTCCCAACTCCCGTCCCAATTTTTTTCCCCAAACTTGCCTTGGATGTACTTCTAAATTGGAACTGGTTACATGTGGAGTTTCCATCCAGTGATTGGTAAATTGGGGTGTCACATTTGGAGAAGGAAAAAGAAGTGGATATTTTTTTTCCACTTTTTTGAACTGAAAAATGGCTGAAGAGATTTTGCTTCAAAATGTTAGCTATGGACCAAAAACATGAGACTTTCAAACTAAAAATGACTTCATGAAAACTTGCTGTGTGTGAGAGACAGGGGAACAAGGATATAAATTCAAGTCTTGTGCAATCCTAATGATATTAGTTGCTACCAGGCAACCACTAAACAATAACTGTATCCTCTCCTTTCCTGTTGTAAGTGGAAGTGAAAGAAATCTTATGACTGAGTCTGTCCTCACAATCTATCCCCAGTCTTGAAGATTCAGGATATTTGTATGAGCTTTCAAGCTCTTAGATGCTTATCCTACACAGTTTCTGAAACTTTTCTGACTTGCAGTTCTTTGTTGTGCTGTGAGGATAATTTTTTAGTTTTCAGTAACATTAGAATAAATTGCAAAGATTGCGAATCTCATCAGAAGCAATGAAACTCTACGTTCCATTTCTGACTGAACTCCCAAATTGCAGTCAGGCTGTTTCTCTGGATGTGGGCCAAAATACCATGATAAATACTTCTTTACAACATTGTGCATTGACTACTTAAATGCATGTAGTAAATTAAGCCATACATTAGCTTTATCATAATCGTAAATTAAATCTACTCAAACTGATGATGGTGCAACTATTTGACTGGTTATTACGCATCGTGAGCATATAACACCAATGCTCCAGGAATAGTGTGGTTTGCCTGCTGTTTCTGGCAGAGTTTGAGTTGCTATTGACCTATAAAACCCTAAATGTTTTGGGGACTGTCTGCTGGGGACTGCCTCTCCCCCATGTAATATTGCCACAACTGGGATCAGTGGAGATGCTCAGTCCTGAGTCTTGTTAGATGAAAGGAGAGAGACTTGAGATCACTCTCCCCGTGCTTCTGGGTCTGAAATTAGCCCATATTCACTCACCTTCAGGGAATGCTGCAGAGACCATCTATTTGCTCAGACATTTGAGGAGGCTTGAGTTGTCTGGGCTTTTGGGGTGGAGGTCTTGAGGAAGACAGTTATTAGCTTAACTTTAGGCTGGCAGGGATGTTATATTATTCAGGGTGCTGGGTTAGCAGCTGCATTTGATGGGTTGTACAACTGCCAGCCTCTTTGAATTAATGGAGGCGCTTAGTGGTTTTCAAACTGGGATGCGTGAGAGAAATCCTGTAATGGCAAACAAAGCAATTTATTTCGTAAGACTTGGCAATCTAATCATAGGTATATTATGACCCTATCTCAGATGGGTGTATACTGTAGACCACATTATTTGGAGAGGAGTATACAGCCTAGAAAGTTTGAAAACCACTGCAGTAGCAATTAGGATGGGTGATTTCCTGTTTGTACTAATGATAATGAACACTTCTAGATGGTTCTCTCCTTTATCCTTCCTCTATCTCCTTCCAGTTCTCTAGCACTGGCCTCTTCTGTTTCCCCATACTCACAACTTTTTTATAATATAAGGATACTCTGTCCTGTAGCTCTTGCTGTGTGGAAATGCTTTTCTCCCTCTCTTTCCTTACCTTTTTGTATCATTTAAAATGTCAACTTTGTTTGGACAATGTTAAATCCATAGCTTTCCTTCCCTGAGTATATCTTAATTTCTTTTTCTGTTTCTTGTCAATTGGTATTGTAACTAGGGGCCCTGTTAAAATTTCATTTGCTATAGAATGTCAGTGGTCCATATTTTAATAATCCTCTTGTCATCTATTTTTAGGATCTTGGAAACAAAGATCTTAACCGAGACAAAGTTTATTTGATTTGTCAAATAGTCCGGGTTGGAAGAATGGATCTAAAAGATAGCAATATGAAAAAATGCACTCAAGGATTGCGACGGCCATTTGGTGTGGCAGGTAACAATCATTTCATTTAAAATTATTTGCAGAATTTCCTTCTAATCACAGCCCATTTACATTTATTGTTTTTTTGTAATGAAAAATTTAAAAACTTGATTATTTAAAGGCAGAGACAAAAAGCATTAAGATGAACCTTAAAATGGAAGAATGCCTTTGATTAAACACATGAATAAAATATGTAGTAAATGAAAGCATGTTTAAATATTTGTAGTAATTACTGATGGAAAAAAATTCTCCAGGAATCTAGTGTGTGTGGTTTATTGAGCTGTGCAGCTTCAGCATCTCACGCAATATAAGAGCCTGATCCTGTCTACACTTAATAGGAGCAGAGTACTATATCCTCTAAGAACATAAGAATGGCCATACTGGGTCAGATTAATGGTCCATCTAGCCTAGTATCCTCCTTCCAACAGTGGCTGGTGTCAGATGCTTCAGAGGGAATGAACAGAACAGGGCAATTTATCGAGTGATCTATCCCATGTCATCCACGTTAACAGATAGCAGGTTTTTAAAACAAACAAAAGGAAGTATTTCACACAATGCACAGTCAATCTGTGAAACTCCTTGCCAGGGGATTCTGTGAAGGCCAAAAGTATCACTGGGTTAAAAGAAGAATTAGATAAATTCATGGAGCAGAAGTCCATCAATGGCTATTAACCAAGGTGACCTGGAACACAACCCCATGCTCTGCAGCAACTATGGTTCTTTAAGGATGTTGTCAGTATGGATCCTGCAACTCGCTCTCCATCCCTGCTTTTTGGAACATGGGCTTTGAGTCGCAAGGGGACTGAGGAAGTATTGCCCTTTATGCCTTCATATGGGAGCATGAGGAGGCAGAGAGCGCATACTGATGCTCTGTCATAAATATAAAGGGAGGGGTAACAACCTTCCTGTATACAGTACTTAAAATCCCTCCTGGCCAGAGGCACAATATCCTCTTACCAGTAAAGGGTTAAGAAGCTCAGGTAACGTGGCTGGCACCTGACCAAAAGGACCAATAAGGGGACAAGATACTTTCAAATCTAGGTGGGGTGGCGGGGAAGGCTTTTGTCTGTCTGTCCTGTGTGCTTGCCGGAGAGAGATCAAGAAAGCAAGCAATCCAACTCCATTAGAATTAGTAAGTACTAGCAAGGAAATGTGTCCGTTTACTTTTGTTTTGGCTTGTGATTTTCTCTGTGCTGAGAGGAAGATGTATTCCTGGTTTTCTTTTTGTAACTTTAAAGTTTTTGCCCAGAGGGAAATCCTCTGTGTTTTAAATCTGATTGCCCTGTGAGATAAGCTTCCCTTCTAATTTTACAGAGGTGCTTCTTTTACCTTTTTTCTTTCTAATAAAGTTCTGTTTCTTTTAAGAGCCTGACTGATTTCTCTATTGTCCTAAGACCCAGGGGCTTGAGTCTGTGATCACTTTGTAAGCAATTGGTTAGGATATTATTCTCAAGCCTCCCCAGGAAAGGGGGTGTAAGGGCTTGGGGGGATATTTAGGGGGAATAGGAACCCCAAGTGGTCATTTCCCTGAATCTTTGTTAAATCACTTGGTGGTGGCAGCGTACTCTCCAAGGGCAAAGAGTTTGTGCTTTGAGGAAGTTTTACCCTACACTGGTAAAAATAAGCTTAGGGGGTCTTTCATGCGGGTCCCCACATCTGTACCCTACAGTTCAGAGTGGGGAGGGAACCCTGACAGCTCATTGATTTTTTTTTTTTAAATGAAGTCTTTTGGCCTTGTGTCCATGAGGCTCGTGCACAAGTACAGTGGTATCAACACTGACTAAAACAACTCAAAGAACAGCAAATATTGAAGAATGAAATAGAAAACTGTACATCTGACAACTTACATATTGGAAAACTAAGCTTCAGTGCCATTGGGTATTTGGAAACAGTTAATGGGAGGATAGGAATGAAAATAAACCATTTCTACATGGAAATTATATCATAGCACCTGGAAAAGGTTTTTTTTTCTTTTTCTTTCTCTCTCTCTCTCTCTCTAAACTTGTACACACACAGAGTTCAGCTTATTAGGTTTTAACAAAGGCTTTAGCCTCAAGTCTGTTCATATTGAATTTCATCTCCTTGGGGAAGGTACAACGTATGGCACCCCAATTGAGTGTAAATAACTTTTTTGGTAAAGATTAACCATATATTGTACTTTACATTGCTAGCAATAACTGATGAAATACCATTGTATAATATCTTTCCATCTAATAACCTTGAAAATCATATCTTAAAATGCATACCTGTCCTGAAGCATAATGTTAGTGAGAGAGAGGAATAATTTTTCATGTTCTTATATATTAATGAATTTTATTTCTACTTTTCTAGTTATGGATATTACAGATACCATAAAAGGTAAAGCGGAAAGTGATGAAGAGAAGCAGCATTTCATTCCTTTTCACCCGTAAGAGTCAAATTTATTTTTTACAATACAACAATTCATTTTACATGCAAAAATTTCTGGCTATGTGAATGTGCTTGTCATGGATCTTTTCTTTATTACAGATAAAGTGATTTTAATTGCATTATATGAATATCAATGTTAGTACAGTCTGAAGTACTAAAAAGAAAACAAGTAATTTTATGGGAATATGAGTGAAAAATATTAATAAGATTAACGTGAAATGTGACAAAGACATGGAAGTTTTTCATAGGGCATCAGCTAAGTATAAATGAATTCAAACTGATGTCTTCACTCCACACTACTGAACAAGTTGAAAGGTGACTGAATTTTGAAAAAGGAAGTTCAAATTTCAATTGCAATGCAAAGCAATCTTTGACTCTCAAATTGGTACTCACACATAAATGGAGAAATAGGCTGAAGTATAGGCACACATTGGAAACAGTTATTGAATGGCATTCTGCATAATACTGCAAGTGTTTGTATGTTCTGTGGAGAATATACCAGTTTGCCAAGCACTTAAGCATTGGCCCCACTTCCCTTTTTTACAATTCCATCTGAGTCATTTGAGCTGGGTGTCAAGAAGCATTCCTGAACTGGATAGTAGAGGAAAGGGGAAGGGGGTTCTAATGCACCTCTGGCTTCTGATGAGGAAAACTGTATTGGAAAAGGCACTAATTGAACCCATTAGGATTACCACACATATAGGGCCTAATCACATCAGCCACACTATCAGAGGCTCGTTCACCTGCACATCTACCAATGTGATATATGACATCATGTGACAGCAATGCCCCTCTGCCGTGTACATTGGGCAAACTGGACAGTCTCTACGTAAAAGAATAAATTGACACAAATCAGATGTCAAGAATTATAACATTCATAAACCAGTCGGAGAACACTTCAATCTCTCTGGTCACTCGATTTCTGATCTCAAAGTGACTATCCTTCAACAAAGAACTTCGAAAACAGACTCCAAGGAGAGACTGCTGAATTGGAATTAATTTGCAAATTGGATACAATTAACTTAGGCTTGAATAGAGACTGGGAGTGGTTGAGTCATTATACTAAGTAAAACTATTTTCCCTTGTTTATTCCCCTCTCCCCCCCCACTGTTCCTCAGATGTTCTTGTTAACTCTTGGAAATGTGCTGGAAATGGCCCACCTTGATTATCACTTCAAAAGGTTTTCTCTCCCGCCACCCCACTCTCCTGCTGATAATAGCTCATCTTAAATGATCACTCTCCTTACAATGTGTATTTTTTCATGGTTTGTGTGTAGATAAATCTCCTCACTGTATTTTCCACTTCATGCATCCGATGAAGTGAGCTGTAGCTCACGAAAGCTTATGCTCAAATAAATGGGTTAGTCTCTAAGATGCCACAAGTACTCCTTTTCTTTTTGCGAATACAGACTAACACGGCTGCTACTCTGAAACCACACATATCAAAAACCTTTGATTTAGTTGTTATGGCTCACCACTGATTGCATCCTACCAGAAGATTTATAGGTTCTTATCCAATTCAGACTACAGAGTTCAAGAACTCAGAGAGTTCTATATCGGGAGAGGATTCTTGGAGTGCTTGGCAAGAACACGTACACTGAGGACAATACCAAATTGATAAAACCTTTATTGAAATTAACATTAAAAATAAGAAATGCAATGAAACTTATAACTGCAAAAAAGTAAAAGAATTCCAAAACTCCTGGTTGTACAATTTCTATTATAAGTACTTAACCTAACATACTCACACCTTTCCTTGAGGACCTGGTAATACGAGGTGAAGGACCAGCCTCACTCCTGGCATGCCCAATTACGCAATGGTGCTGGCTTCCCCAATGGTTAGGAATGTTGAGTAGTTATACTATACTGCACAAGCTGAGCTGATAGAATGATAAAATAGATAGATAGAGCTTAGAACTTAGAAGAGCTGAACTTCAAAGAACCGAACTGAACTCTCCTACAAGGTATTTTATAGGATCCTGACCTATGTAATTCAGGCCCAACCTACTATACCCAAATCTTATTTCCGTACCCTAAGAAATTTATAGGTACCCTTCTCCTATAGGCAGTGGTGAGCTGGAGCCGGTTCGCGTGAACCGGTTGTTACATTTTGAAACCGGTTTAGAACTGGTTGCTAAAGGGGTGGTACAAAGACACTGAGTGTGGTATAATTGCCTGGATAGGGTCACTGGGCTTTAACATCCAGAAAGGACATGGATCCAACACTCTCTTAGGCCTGGTCTACTCTGGGGGGGGGGCGGGGGGGGGAGGGAGGGGAAGATCACTAAGTGCATAGTGGTGGGGATTGGTAAATAATTAAGTTGTAAAAGAACAATGACTGAGGGCATTGGCTTTATTGCTTCCTTAATTATTTGGTATGTTCAGTGTTTACTAGGGAATTTTTTCTATTTTCCTTTAGAGTGGTTGCAGAGAATGATTCTTTGCACAGTCTCTTAGGAAAAGTCACAGCATCAAAAGGAGACAGTGGCGGGCAAGGTAAAGTAGTCTTTGTATGTAAGCAAAACAATACATTGTATTTATAAATCTTGGTTTCATATTTTTTTAGTCTGGATTTCAAATCAGTCCCTGTACTTCAGTCATTGGGCTAGATATACTGTGACACTGACAATGATGAATGTAAATCTTTGTGGGGGAGTTAGAGGCTATTTAGATAATAAGCACCTGTCTCACTGAGCAAAGTGGCTTTAGTTACGGTTTAAGTGGTAGCTGTTTTTTGGCTGAGGAGGTGGGAAAGGTGACATTTGTAAGCAGTTCTCCAGAGGAGAGAAAAATGGTAACTTAATTCAAACTCCAAAGTTTGTTAATTACATAATCTCTCGCTTTTTCTATAGGTCTGTGGGTAACTATGAAAATGCTTGTTGGAGACATGACTCAGATTAGGAAGGACTACCCCCATCTCGTTGACAGGACAACAGTTGTTGCAAGGAAGCTGGGATTCCCTGAAATAATCATGCCAGGTAGGAGGTGATTTGTTCTTCACTGAAAATAGACTTTCACCTTTTCACTGTAAAGCCTAATATAAATACCTGTAATATTTAGCTTGGAGCTTACTTCAATGTACACTTCAGGGTGATTTATAATTTAAATATTAGAAGCTTACATCAATCAGTGAAATATAATTACTTAGAAAAAATGTAAGGATAAATCATTTAAAACAAAAATGCTTAAATGAAGACAAAGATCAGGGATGGTGTTGGCCCACTGCTCAGTGGAGAAGGTGAGCTGGTGATAGATGATGATAGGAAGGCAGAGCTGTTCAATGCATACTTTGCTTCAGTCTTCTCACAAAAAATAACACGTGACTGGATGACTTGTGAAATTACCATAGACGACAAAGAGGAAGGGATGCAGATCGGGATAAGTAAAGAACATTTCAGATCTTCTGACTAATTTGAATGAATTCAAGTTAGTGGGGCCTGATGCTATTCATCCCAGAGTGCTAAAGGAATTAGTTGAAGAAATCTTTGAGCCACTGGCAATAAGATTTGTAAATTCATGGATGATAGGGGAAGTCCTAGAAGACAGGAGGAGGGCTAATGTAGTGCCCATATTCAAAAAGGGGGGAAAAGGAGGAGCCAGGAAACTACAGACTAGTCAGCCTGACCTCGATACCTGGGAAGCTATTACAGAAATGTATAAAACGTTCAGTTGGTGAATACCTGAAGGATGAAGGGGTGATCATTAGCAGCCAGCATGGATATACGAAGAACAAATCCATGCCAAACCAGCTTGATTTGCTTCTTTGATAGGGTGACTGGTTTGGTGGATAGGGGGAAATGTGGACATCATATACCTGGACTTGAGCAAAGCTTTTGAGACAGCCCCACATGACATTCTGATAAGAAAGCTGGAGTAATGCAGCTCGGTGGAACTATAGTTAAGTAGATACATAACTGGTTAAACAACCACAAACAACAAGTAACTGTTAATGGAATGATGTCTGACTGGAAGGAGATCTTGAGTGGGGCTCCACAGGGATCTGTTCTGGGTCCAGTATTATTTTACATTTATATTAATGACCTGGATGTAGGAATAGAGAGCATACTGATAAAATTTTCACAAAAAGCTAGAGGGGTTGCCAACACTGTGGAGAATAGTGCTAAAATCCAAAGGGATATGGATCGATTGGAGAACTGGGCTATAGATGACGAAATGAAATTCAAAAAAGGCTACACTTAAGGAAGAAAAACCAAATGCACCAATACAGAATGGGTGATAACTGGCTTGGCAGCAGCACTGCTGAGAAGGATCTGGGAGTTGTCATGGATCACAACTTCAACATGAGTCAACATTGTGATGCTGTTGCAAAAAAGCAATGCAATTTTAGGTTGCATTAACTGGGGTATAGCAAGCAAGTCATGGGAGGTGATAATACTTCTCTATTCGACTCTGGTTAGGCCTGAGCTAGAGTACTGTGTCCAACTTTGGTCACCAAAGGAAAGGATCCCAAGGCGAACAACAAACATGATCAAAGGGATGGAATGTAAGCCAGAGGAGCAAAGGCTGAAGGGAAAGAGGAGATTAAGGGGGGATATGATCACAGTCTTCAAATACTTGAAAGGCTGCCCTGAAAAGATGGAGAAAAGTTGTTCTCTCTTGCCACAGAGGGCAGGTCAAGAGGCAATGGGTTCAAACTATACAATGTAAAGATTTAGATTAGATCTCAGAAAAAATTTCATAATTGTAAGAACAACAGGACAACAGAACAGACTGCCTAGGGACGTTGTGGAAGCTCCTTCACTGGAGGCTTTCAAAAGGAGCTAGATGGCCATCTGTGTTGGATGGTTTAGACACAACAAATCCTGTATCTTGGCAGGGGAGCCGACTAGATGACTCTTGCGGTCCCTTCTAACCCTATGATTCTGATTCTAAAAGTACCATGTTTCTCATAAATTGCTTTCATGATCACTGCATAGATAAGGAATTATTTACAGCTTTTATTAGTTGTTTGACTTTCATACTATGCTTTTGTTCCAGTTAAAATACCAATATGTATGAAGTCAGGCTACTAAATGTTTGTTTAAAGCCAATTTCTTGGTTCAGATTATCCAGACTGGCATGTATGTGGCATTATGGTTTTGATGACATCTCAATTTGTTCACAGGAGGAGAACAAAAAAAGCTGTTTTATAAAGCTCCCATTTGGGGGGGAAAACAGAATTTCATATCTTATTAGTCAAATTGAGTAACAGCATCTTAACTTCACCTCACCAGAAGGTGTCACTGCAGTCTGAGAGTTAGATGAGTTCCCTTTCAGGAAACACATTTTCTCGTTTCAGACCATACTATAAAATTTGATCAAATGAAAATATCAAAGCAGAACACTTTAAACTTTTCTTTAGAATGAACTTAACTTCATTTAATATAGTTCAGCATAGTGAGATGAGTATGTAAGTAATCATTATTACTTATAAAAACCCTCTTGGGTTTCCCTTTGATTTTGTAATATATTTTTATTCTTTTGCATTTCTGTCATAGGGGATATAAGAAATGATATTTATGTTACACTGACTATGGGTGATTTTGATAAGTACAATAAAACAACCCAAAGAAATGTGGAAGTGATCATGTGTGTCTGTGACGAAGAAGGAAAAGTGATACCAGTAAGTTTTTGTCTCTTGCCATTAGCATTAAACATGAAAATGTTAAACACATCTTAGAAGTAAGCCTTGCACTTCACATGAATTTTGAATAACATTGTAATGTAATATCCTGCAGTACATTTGTGTTCTATTTCTAGTGAGTTGTTTTGTCATGCTGGAATTGTTATATTTAATAAAAGCCTTACGTAGTGTGCATAAACCTGTAAAAGACACTTGCTGACCTGTTATCTCTGACTAGAGAGCAAATAGATGATCTGCTCTTATTGACTGTGACTCTGGAGATTTCCTCATGGGGATTCCTGGAAGAGTAATGTAATTACTATGTTAAACTAAATGTTCCATCTCCATTATACAACTAGCCAATGCAGGAATGGGACACAAAGACTGTATTCCTATCTCTTGGGTGGGGGTAGCCTGCTTGAGTTAGGTAAGGTAGCAATGTGGATCAGTGTCTGTCTGTACGTATGCAATGTAAATATTTACTAGTTTTTTCATGGTGTCTCTTTTCCTTTTTTGTATAACTTTTTATTTGTCTCAAGACCTTAATAGCTGTCCAGTGTTTAGGAAGATTTTCTTCCACTTTGTTTTGAGCTTCATGCTATTCTTTTTGGAACTGTGCTGTATTCAGAAGAGTGAAAGCAGTGACATTTCTTAAGACCATGTAAATCTGGAGCAACTCAGTGCGGTAAAAAGCCTTACGCTGTCAGAATTGAGAATTCTTGTTAATGCATGTATGATGCAACAAATCTTCATTATGGGGCCAAACATCAAAATGTGGCCTTCAGCAGTGTGTGTGCACATCTGTCATGTGAAAATGAAGGAGAAAGACACCCCAAAGAGCTTTGGATCTCTAAGTTCTGTTGCCCGCATCTGCAAGTAATGATTTTAACCCATTAGTGCAAGTTTGGGGATGTTCAAGTGGAAGCTCAGTAAAAGTCCTTTTGGAAACCTGGCACTATTTTATGTCTTCACTTAATTTTCTTTAACGGTGCTTATCCCAAAGTTTAGGCACCTCTTAATTAATTCAGTACTTAATAAAATGACCATATTTAAATGTCCAGAAATAAAATCATAACTTACATTTTCTATCTTACTCTATTCATGCACCTTCTCCCTAACTGAATGAGAAACAAAGCACATCACTGTCTATATTTATAGCTTAAGTCAATCAGTTCAAGCTCTTTTTTAGACAGCACTCTTTTTAAACCTCTTTCATTACACAAAAATGCTCATCTGTTCATTTAAGATAATCTTGAGAGCACATAAATATTGGGAAGATAACTGGACTTCTGCTTTATCTAGATATAACAAAAGCAAAGCTGAATTAGAAATAGTACACAATAGAGAACACTAATGTGTTTTAAATTGGAAAAACTGGCACTCAATTTATTTCTGCAAACAAGAGAAGGCCACTTTCTATAAGTAAATGTCACAGAATAAATTTAAACAACTCATGTGAGAATGGTGCATTATAAAACACCCTTTTGGGGATATGTATTTCTACGAATTTAGATGACTATATTTCCTCAGTAGAACCCAGAAATAAAGCCTCATTACTCCTCTTGATGTATCAATATTACTACCTTCTTGTCTCATGTTTAAAAGAATGACTTCATAAGGTAGGAAGTGGTTAAGATAGAGGGTTCACTGCTATCTGATATTTATAAATGTCTGGCGTCCAATACAATGTACAAACTTAGTTTTAGTTGCACCTACAGTCGAGAACAAGTACTATGCATTAGTAATTTAGTGTGTATCTAGTATGCATGTGTGAGGGATGCTCCATGAGTGAGGGATGCAGAATGTGCATGAGTGAGGGATGCTACATTTTTGATGGGTGATGAAACCCATCCCAAGTAGAAATAGAGGCAGAAGTGAGAGCTTGGCCTATTTTCCCCTCAGCACAGGAAACTAGCTACCCTGTGTGTGGGATCCCTGGCTGTACTGTGAGAGTCTTTTCAGTCCATTAAATGGCCTTAGCCTAGAATTTACAAACCCTTGTGATAAAATGAGTGGAGATGAGTGCTGATCAAACTTGGGGTGATTTAAAAAAAAAAGGCAGATTGGGGTCTGAACTCTTCAGCTTGTGCCAGTCTGTAGAAATAGCATATAGTGTGAGTGTTTTGGAGGGGAGGAAATGAGGGACAAAATCAATGAGAAATTTTGGAAAAGGTAAGGTTTAGAAAAATTGGAGAATGCGAATTAAAATGTTGAAAGGGGAGGTTTTATAATGTTAAATAAGTAGAACTAGAAGAAGCAATTGTTAGACATGGGGTGGGAAAGGAAGGTGAGACTAGAAATAGAAATGGAGACTTAGAGAGAAATAGAGAAACTGGGAAGAAAATGTTAAAATAGGGTTAAATATTGATATTTTAAAATAGCATCAAAACAACAAAACACAGTAGAGTAATTAATAAAATGAACAACCAGGAAAAAAAACAAGGCAGCAAGAGCTTGATGTATAGCAGGTGGCAAAAATTGGACATAGAATTGGATCTTTTTTGGGGTGTCACATTTTCTTCCTCTCTCTAAATCATAAATGGGGTATGAATTCAAGGAGAACAGTGACTGCCTTTCTGTGGTTGCTGTGTACTAGGGTGGCAGATACTGCTTGAAAACTACACCCAATTAGCTGGAGCTGAACCTGTTGGAAAGGGGTAAAGCAGACTTGCTGGTGCAAGTGGCATAATGACACACCCTCAGGCAGACAGTGCTAAAGTTTGGAGCAGACAGATCCTGAGAGAAGGAGCCCAAACTACAGCCAACCAAGTGTAGAAGACTTAAATTGGGGCAAAGTTACTGTAGAGGCAGTAAAGCGTGCTGAGGCTTAATCCTGGGGGTTTATATAGGTTAATTTGGGAACACCTTTTTGTTAATAAAGCAGATGCCAAGAGAAGTGGCTCTATTTTTGGACCGAATGAGCACTCCCCTTTGGAGTGGGGTTGGGATGCTATTGGTGTGGGGTAGGGCCTATCCAGACCACAATGCACTTTGGGGCATAACTTTGAGTGTAGAAATGAAACATGACAAATGTAAAAATATGCCCTGAAATGAGATGTACTGGGGGTAGAAGGGAGTCCCCAGGAGGGGGCCTTATTGCCAGCATGCCCCCTGCTCCTAGTACTGCCCCTAGAGGGAAGTCTCACTGAGCAAGACAGTGGCCTGGGAATTCTGAGTTAATTCATAGGAGAGATTTTGGAATCTAAATTGGGAGTGCCTTCCTGAACTGAAGTAATCATGTCCAGTTGAGCCTACTTTAGGTTCAGAACCTTAAAAGGGGATGGACTACTTTTAGGAAAGAGAGGAGTGTTACTTTCTAAAAGCCAAGGAAGCGAGTTCTAGAGACACAAATCCTCCCTAGTTGTATTTGTAGTTTTCTGGCCATTTAGAGATTAAATAAAATAAGCTGCTTAAGGAAGCGTTCCCAGGCATTTCTCTATGATTTTGTTGCTTGTTTTCTTGGAAAAGAGCCCTGTGAAATTTGAAACCCCAGAAAAGAGAGGGCTTTGGTATCTTTGCTTTGCTTGGTCCTCCTTGGTTTCTCTAGCCGCATAGATGTCCAGCTAAACCTCCCAGAAAACTGAAAAAAGCAAACACAACTTATTAACTTCCCTTTCCCATACACAAACACCTACATCTTAGACCCTTTATGGAGCAAGTTATTTGCTGGGCACCGGCTGCATGCTAAAGGAATTAAAATCTCCTGAGGTTGCCCAAGCCTTCTCTATTCTGGCACTTCCCACTGTTGGAAGTTTTTTGTGATTCAGGGTTGTTCAAGTGATTGTGTTTATGTGGATGTGTCATAAATATAAAGGGAAGGGTAACAACCTTTATGTATGCAGTAATATAAAATCCCTCTTGGCCAGAGGTACAGAATCCCCTTATCTGTAAGGGATTAATCAGTTCAATTAACCTAGTTAGAACCTGACCAGAAGGACCAATGTGGAAAGAAGATACTTTCAAACCTGGGGAGGGAGAAGCTTTGTTTTTGTGCTCTGTGTGTGTTCTCTCGGGAGATAGAGACCAAGCAAATAATCCAGCTCCTACTGAATGATGCATCTAAAATTACAGGAATAGTAAGTAATAGCAAGGAAATGCGTTAGAGTATCTTTTGTTTTAGCTTGTGAATTTTCCCTATGCTTAGAAGGAGATTTATCCCTGGTTTTTGTAACCTTAAAGTTTTGCCTACAGGGGAATCCTCTGTGTTTTGAATCTGATTACCCTGTAAAAATTATCTTCCATCCTGATTTTACAGAGGTGGTGCTTTTACTTCTTTTTCTTTATTATAAAGTTCTGTTTTTTTTTTTTTTTTTTAAGAATCTGATTGGTTTTAGTGTCCTAAAAACCCAGGGATTTCGCTGCGCTCACCTGTACCAATTGGTGAGGATATTATTCTCAAGCCTCCCCAGGAAAGGGGGTGAAGGGATTGGGAGAAATATTTTGGGGAGCAGAAACTCCAAGTGGTTCTTTTTCTTGAATCTTTGTCTAACTCACTTGGTGGTAGCAGTGAATACTGTCCAAGGACAAGAAAGGATTTGTGCCTTGAGAAAGTTTTTTAACCTAAGATGGTAGAAATAAGCTTAGGGGGTCTTTCATGTGGGTCCCCACATCTATACCCCAGAGTTCAGAGTGAGGAGGGAACCCTGACAGGATGTCTGACCCTGGCCTACTTTCTTCTGTGAAGCTTTTAAAATAAATGCCCTCCTGAGGCACAACATGACTATGTAGTGGTACTACACACTATTTGTACTCCAGTTTGTCAATATATAGTCTTCTCTTGCAGTCTTTGCGTGTACAAAACTTGCATGGATTTCAATGGGAGCCACGTAAGGGGTGATAGAGCTGCATGCACTAGGCTGAAGGCTACTTTTATTGTTCAACTTGGTTGCAGTACAAAAAACAAAACAAAGAAGAAACACGCTGGAAAGCATTAAAATACCTCTTGGTGGGAATAGAAGACATTTGATCATATTTTACACGTAGGATGGTTGACGTTTCTATACTTGAAGTAGATTATAATCTCCTTGAGCCAGAGACTTCCTTATGTATTTCTATCACAGTGGGTTGCTGGTCTGACTGAGGTCTCTAGGTGCTATCACAGTACAAATAATACAACCTTGTTTTATTATTTGTGCAATAAACAGAATATCCTGTACTCCTTTTTATATGTGTCTTTAAATGTAGCACTGTAGCCTCTAGCTGTAAACAATTCTTGTGTTGCATTTAAATTGGAAGATGCTTTTCCATTTAAATTTAGTTGATGGTGTTCTTGGTTCTGTACAATGGGCCAAATTCACCTCTGGAATAAACAAGGTGAATTGCATTGATTGAGTATAGTGAACCCATACTCGTGCCAATAATCAAGTTAGCCTCTGAATACTGTTGTCAGTGTTGCACCCTCTAAAGATTTGTAGAAAGATTGGCACTAGCATGTATTTAGAGCTAAAAACCCCACAAAATGCATTGTGGATGTCTGAAGGTTTAGAAATAATTCAAGTAAAATACAGCCTGATCAATGCAAGCCCATCAGGGAACTTATTTTGTATGGAATTTTTTTAAAAAAAATCCGATAAATACATCAGTGTTACAAACAAGTGACCAGACTGGTTACCATTAGGGTCAGAAATTTTCAGAATGTTTTATATTGATGGAGTGCTGCTAATATTAGATAATTGTATTCATTTCCTTGTAGTGTTTTGACTTCTTTAGCAATCAGAATGTGAGGTGTGAGAGACAGGATGGGAAATGTGATCTGATGATCTGGTCATGACTTCCTGCTTCTCCTCATGGCTCTGATTTCTAGAATGCTAGTATTTATTATAGTTAAACAGCTTTTACTTCTAGTTCTTTGGATGAATTTTGTAAATCTGTTATGCAGAAAATATGTACCTTGTTGGAGTGTTCTTAAGTAGGAGAGTTTTGCCTTTTACCCACATCCCATGAATTATTTACACAAAATAACTAAGTTTGTATTTTTTTTCCTCTTTTTGTGTAAGAATGCAATTTGTTTGGGAGCAGGGGACAAACCTGTAAGTGAATACAGATCAGTTCTCTACTATCAGGTCAAACAGCCACGCTGGATGGAAACATTAAAGGTATGACACAAACATTTTTCATTTATATTTTCCCCTTCAGTTGTCAGGTCCTATCTTTTCTCCTAAAAAACAAACAAACAAACCAAAACAACAACAACCTATTACAGTACAACTCACATTTTTTGTAACAAATACCTTGAGGTCTTGAAATATAGTTGCATGTATGTCTTACATCAACTATCAGTTTGGGATACATGATAAGTGACGCTTAAAGTTTCAGTCCAGAAAGCCGTGTTAGGATTTCTTGTTTTTGTAGCACCAAAACCCATGAGATCATCTTAGTTTACCTTATGTCCTGAATATGCCAAATTGAAAATGAAGTACACCATTAGCTGTATTGGTGTAAAATAGAGAAAGTGAGACGCTTGAGTGATTAAACGAGTATGGTAAATAACCTCCTGTAAATTTTAGATTGTTATGGTCTTGGATGTCTGTTAGAGAAGAACTAATAGACACCTATGTAATGAGTGTTTAATTGTAATAGTCTGGAAGGTTCTGAAGGCAATAATTACAAAACATGGCTCAAGGTTACTTGACAAGTCTACAGTCAATGCTTTTTTGGAAAAGTGCTATGGAAGATGGGCTGAATTATGTTAGTAATCTGTGTAATAAGTCTGCGACTGCACCAATGTATGTAGTGACAGTGGATAGAGGAAGGTAGGTCATCTGCAGCTGTAAAACATGTTTGTATTTTGAAAGCACTGACAAATGCATTTTGACATCTTGTTGCCATTTTAAATTTTGGCAGTAACTTGAATAGATTTTGTATTGAAAGCCATTAGAAATAGTTGTGCTTTCAATTATTTGAAAATTGGGGTTTGAAGTCAGATTAAGGTAGTGTAAAATGCTGTGTTGTAGCTAGTGATGTTCAAGATAGTCTCATGTGACTTCAGGAGCCATCACTGTCTAAGCAATAAGGAGAGACAAGGTGAGTAAAGTAATACCTTTTACTGGATCAACTTCTGTGGGTGAGATAAGATTGCCTGTCTGTCTTTCATCCACAGAAGTTGGTCCAATTAAAGATATTACCTCACCCACCTTGTCCTGCTAATATCCTGGGACCAACACAGCTACTACTATACTGAAAATAGGAATAACCACAAGATGGACATCAGAATTATATAATTTAAAAATCTGATATGTGACCCATCAGATCATGAGAATGTTTTATACTAATGGAGTGCTGCTAATATTGGATAACGTATTCATTTCCTTGTAGCGTCTGTGACTTTTAGCAATCAGAATGAGAGGTGTGAGAGTGGGTGGGAATGTGACCTGATGATCTGGTCATGACTCCCTTGTTGTCTTCATGGCTTTGATACCTACTTGCTCTGCAGCTTTGGGAAAGTCATTTAATATTTTTCTACTCCAGCTCATCCATTACTGAAGAGGTATAATTACCTCCATAGGGCTTTGATTGATGTTAAAGGGTTTTGAGAGGTATTCTATAAATCCATATAATTAACAGTACAATTTCACTTTCCTTTTTTGTTTTTGTTTTCTAGTACATGAAATTTTGTCCGCCCTATAACTGATGGCTTTATCCATACTCGCATGCAAATTGGAATTGGTCCTGATGAACATTTTCATTCTGGACTGTATAATAGAAACCCAGGCACCCAGAGCTCAGTCTACTTCCTCCTGCTGCAGTCCTTTCTTACACCCTCCTCTATTCTGCTTCACTGTGGTGCCTAATGACTGTGGAATTCATTAGGAATTCCAAGCAGATGATTTCAGGACTAGGATCTCTTCTGCTTCCCGAGGCCAGGCCTAGGCAAATGTGTTTTGTGTATGCAAGGCTTTATAGGGCCAGCATACAGGTGGGAAACAGTAGCACTGATTTTTGCATGTGGTTATATCTGTCTCAAGTTTCGTCAGGTGCCCCCTCTTGCCCACTCACCAGATGGCTGTGAGTAGGGTTGCCAACTTCCTAACAGCACAAAACCGAGCACCCTGGCCCCACCCCTTCGCCCAAAGGCTCCCACTCCCTCGGAGGCTCTCTCCCCCCCACCCTTACTCACTTTCACTGGGTTGGGGCAGGGGGTTGTGGTGTGGGAGGCGTGGTGCCAGAAATGAGGGGTTCAGGGTATGTGTGTGGGGGTCCAGCCTGGGGCAGGGAGTTGGGGTGAGGAAGGGGATGTGGGCTCTGGGGTGGGGCTGGGGATGAGGGGTTCAGGGTGTGGGAGGGGGCTCTGAGTTTCGGGGGGGGGTTGGTTTGGGTGCAGCTTACCTCGGGCGGCTCCCAGTCAGTGGCACAGCAGGGCTAAGGTGTCCTGGCAGTGTGCTGTGCTCCGGAAGGGACCAGCAGGTCCAGCTCCTAAGCAGGGGGGCCATGGTCCTCTGAGCGCTGCTCTCGCCCACCGGCCCTGCTCCCCAACTTCCATTGGACGTGGTTCCTGGCCGATGGGAGTGTGGAGCTGGTGCTCGAGGTGGGGACAGCACGCAGAGCCCTGTGGCCCCTCTGCCTAGGAGCTGGACCTGCTGGCTGCTTCCGGGATGCAGCACGCTGCCAGGACAGGTAAGAACTAGCCTGCCTTAGACCCACAGCACTGCTGACCAGACTTTTAATGGCTTGGTTGGCAGTGCTGAATGGAGCCACCAGGGTCCTTTTTTGACTGAGTGTTCCGGTTGAAAACAGGACACCTGGCAACTCTAGCTGTGAGGAGCCCACTGGACCCCATGTGTTTTAAGCCTCCAGAGTTGAACAGAATCCAGGCACTGCCTCTGGTTGGGATCCCTCAACATACTCACAGGGCGATGATCCTCCATTTAGCACACTCTTCTGAAAGCTGAAATTTTATGATCCAGCTGCCTACCCCCTGTTACCAGTGCCAACTGCTCTCTCTCTCCTAAAGCTTAAACACTCTCTCTTCGAGAACTTCCACCATCTGGTTGCTCTGTGTCCGCAGGTTAACTCTTGAAGGGCATGTGTGTAAGACATAATGCACAGACTGACTTTCAGAGGATTCTAAACCACTATTGCTCTTAATCACAAGAAATACACAAGTCTAGACAAAAATAAGTCTATATACATTTCTCTGCCTTCGTTTCCTCACCAGTCCAGAGCATATGTTTCAAACTCCCTCAAGTTGATACTTCCCATCATCAACTCCTGGCTCCTTTGTCCTGCTGCTAGTAATTTTCCGCTCTTCAAACCCGAGCCTACTTACACGCAGGCTGGAGGAAGTGGCTTCTCCCAGCTCTAGACACCCTCCTCCTTAGCATATATACTGAGCAATCAGAGTACAGTCATTAAAGGTAACTCTTCTTCATTGTCCCTCATCTGGAAGAGATGTGCTTACAAGCTTGTCAGCAATAATTGATATACAGAGGCATTCCTTGATGCAGCACTTTTCAGTAAGAACAACTTCACAATGTCAACCAGAATTTGTAAATTGCCCAGATTGCATGAGTGGCTAAACCCAGCAATTAAAGGAATGGTGGATATTCATTTCAAAGTAGACAAGTTTCATTATGTGCTATAACTTCTGATTTATAAAAGGTGGCAGTCCCCATTGAAGATATGCAAAGAATACATCTGCGTTTCATGTTCAGACATAGGTCATCTCAAGAGTGTAAGTACAGAATTTTTATTCTTTTTGTTTGCAATCAAGGTTGCCAGTCCTTCTAAAAAAAATAACACATGATTTTGTACTTTGTAGCTAAAGACAAGGGAGAAAAGAATTTTGCAATGGCCTATGTAAAGCTCATGAAAGAAGATGGTACAACTCTGCAAGATGGCTCCCATGAGTTGGTAGTCTTAAAGGTATAGTAATGAAGGTTGTTGCATAGAAGCAATTATTTTTTTCACTGACTTTTTTACTATTCAGTCTTCTATGATATTCCCAATTTTCCATGGTCTTCCTCTCATTATCCTACTAAAGACTTAAATTATGTGGTCCTTCCTCTGAATGGACAAGACTGGATTCATCTTTTTCTAGAGTTGGTCAAGATGACCCCAAACATCTGCTATAGGTAGGAATCATTGTAGAATGACACAGGACAGTTGCTGTTCCCACATTTTAACCTTTGTTGCCCTGCTTAAAGTCTACTTTGTCCCTACTTCTAGAAGCTTGGGACAAAACTCAAGACCTGGACTGAAACCATCATTAGAGCTTGGAATATGATTCAGTTAATTTTACCATGATTTCTCCTGCCTTGTGAATAATCTGTGAACAGCTTGTGACTTTCTAGTATTTGTGAGGGGTTGGTTGCTTTATAATTACAATGAATACTAAGATGTGAATTGTATATGGTCAGTTGCAGGGATTTGGATACTGGACATTTGAACAGTGCTGGTTTGTTCTGATTGGCCACAAATAACATGGTTGACTTTCCCCCCACCCTGTCCCCAGTTGGATGCATGATATTAAACTTGGGTTTCTCAGGCAGATACTGAAGACTGGGAATTGGAAATGAATTTCCTGAAAATATAATCAATCCTGTACTTAATTAGTTGTTTCCAAATGTGTTCTGTCCAGTAAACTAGTTTTTCTGTAATATTCATGGAAAGCTATAACAGAGGCCTGCACACAACTAAAGCAAATTGTTTATAAATTCCAGTGGAGATTAATGTGTTTTTTTTAGATATTTGCCCACCTCTTGTTGGTGTTAAAACTGATAAATATTGAGGCCAGAAGGGACCATTATGATCATCCAGTCTTGACTGATTGTATAATGCAACCCATAAAATTTCAGCAAGTGATTCCTGCTTCAAGCCCATAACTTCTGGTTAAGCGAGAGCATATATATTAGAAATGCTAAACTGAGTTGGCACATTATATTTGTGGTAGAAAATAGATCATTTCTGACAGAGAAATGCTACTTCTAGAATTCAAATACAGAAACACCAGTGCTAAGCATTTAAAAACATGAGTCAGGATCCCAGAAATGGAAGGGCTTTAAACTCAAGAGGTTTTAAATACCTTTTAAAGTTTTAAGGGTGGTGGCTTCCCCCCCTCCTTTTTTTTTTTGCCTTCTGATGTTCAGTCCTTTGGTGTGCACTTGAATCATGTTTTCAAGCTTTTCTCTGAAAGTTAGAAACTTTCTATTCAAAATGAAAGCTGTGACTCTCATGTATCTTTTTCTTTTAAAAAAATCCTAATTGTGAGACTGATAAAATTGAGGAAGCAGGCAACACTTGCCAATGTTCTAGTACATTTTCAACTTCAAAAGTGACCTTTCTGCCCTCAATATATCTCTTGATAATTTTCAGGGTTTTCCTGTGCTTTGCTTGGCTGCAGCTAGAGAATGGACATCTCCTCATGGGATGGAAACCTTTTTTTTTTTTTTTTTTAATGCTTTTGAGTGAGAACCTGAACTGAGTTAGGCACCAAGCCCCTTTTTACATCTTGTCAGTCTGGGAAGCATCTCTGACTTCTCTTAGGGATGCATTAGCATGAATTATCTCAAGAACTATTTAAACCATAAAAACTGACACCATAGGTCTGTTGGCACACAGCTCTTCTTTCACAGGCCAAACCTTTTGGAGCTATGGTAAATATCAAAGAATAAGTCTCCTGAATCTAGAAATCCTGTGCCAAGTAAATTTCAGGTCAGCGCACTCTCCTCCACATCTGCTACACTTGGTCTGCAGGCTGATATGGTCTGGAAATTCAGCTTCAAACCTGAACAGTCATGATATTTGAATAGTTGCAACAATATTGGGTACAAACTGTGAACTGACGGATGTACTATATGGTGCAAGTAGCTATTCCAAGAGCTGTAGTTAGGTATATTCTATTTTCCTTCCCTAGTACCTACCATTTCATAATCTGACTAAAGTGGTTGTTTGTTTGTTTGTTTTCATTTTAATAGGCTTCTTTTGCTAGAAGCTTGTGTTGGGGAGACTGTTTTCAGTTCTAGTCTTAATTGTCAACTGAGTATAGTTTTCCCTAATTTCTCATTTCTGAATCGTTCCAATGTAATCAAGTTGGATTTTATGACAAACTGAATGCAGTCTGTTGTAGTATCTGTCCTCCCTAATCAATATCCAAGTGCATAAAATTATTGAGAGGACCTCTAAAATAATTTTACAGAATACAGATTAACTTCGCCTGATACAAAATTATGCTGTCATTTTCTTTGGCTCATCACTATTCACAGCCTCTCTTAGAAGGCCAAACACCACAATTCTGTTTTGATTGACTCTCTATGGAATGTCTTCAAATCAGAAGAAATAATCTCCTGTTTTACAACTTGCCGATTATTCCTGAATAACATCTCTAAGATATCACCTTCCCCTCCATCCAGACAATCCAGGTCACCCTCCTGTTAGATCTCAATTACTGCAACATCATCTTCTGTGACCTTGAATTATGCAGTCTCGACCCCCTCCCCCCCGCCCTTGTAGCCATTCAAAATGGTGCTTCAAAGAAAAATTTCCAGGATTCTTGCTTTGATCACATCATCCTCTTTGCATCCCTTCACTGTCCTCTTCTCTTCTCCATTTCATCAAACACAAACTACTTTGCCACTTTCAAGGCCCTTCATGTCCTATCCCCACTTTACTTCTCTGTCATGTGCTATTGAGAGGTCAGCTCCAGCCTGCATTCTGCCACTGGTACCAGCCAGCATTGTCCACTTATTACATTTTCAAACAATCACCTTTCCAATTTCTTCTGGGCTGCCCTTTGCATATGAGAAGGAGCACCCTTTGAGCACCCTTAAAGTCACCCCTCCTTAAACTTTTCCTGTGGTGCCTAGAAAAAAAATCTTGACAGTGGTGAGGTTGCTGGTGTGTCGCGACTGCAACTTTCTTGCTGACCAGCATTGTTTGTATTTACTTGTGCTCCCCCGTCTGTGTGCAGTCACCTGTTTTCTCTTACCTATGCTTACTTTGTAAACTATTTTGGGGGTAGGGACCCTCTTTTTGTTATGTTTGAGCAGTGCCCAATGCTTGTCCAGGACTGTGATTCCTATGCATTCCTGCAATACAAATAATACATAACTAATATCTTTTCAGGGTGATAGTAAGAAAATGGAGGATGCCAGTGCTTATTTGACTCTACCTTCCTCTCGTCAACATGTGGAGAATAAAGGATTGACCTTAAGTCGAAGTGCTAGCAGTGTGGGAGGACTCTCAGTAAGCACACGGGATGCCTTTTCTATTTCAACTCTGGTTTGTTCAACAAAGCTAACTCAAAATGGTATGCAGTTCATATTCTTGTGTAAGCATTTGAAAAAGGCTATTACACGTTCTTAAAACTCACACGGACATTAAAAAGCTATCTTCTCTGCCATTTATTTCAGTGGGTTTACTGGGTCTTTTGAAGTGGCGCATGAAACCAGAACTGCTACAGGAAAATTTAGAAAAATTGAAGATTGTGGATGGCGAGGAAGTTGTGAAGGTACCTCCTTTCCAATGTTACATTCAGTTACACAACTGCTGTTCTGTTGTTGTTGGCGCTCTGTAAATAGCAGACTGCTGGGTTCCTCTCCCCTTTACAGATGATTTTGTGAGCCTTCTGCTTCTCTTTTGACAGAGGATAGAACATTTAGGCTTCTATCAGGCTGTTGTTCATGGCACTCAACAATCATCTGATAGAGGGGATTAGATCGTGATATGGTTGGTTATTCATGACCTCTATTATTTTTTTCCATTTAGTAGAGTAGGTATGCCATTGTTATTCCAGAACCTAGTCTTCCTCCACACAATGGAAAGAATACACCATTCCAGTCATTTAGGAAGAGGTGATGCTGCAGAGTGCAGCTGCACATCACTCTTCCCTGAGATCAGAGATAATTTTCTCTGATCACATAAAATCATTACAGTGACAAAGTTTTGTCATTAATGGTACAAGATGCTCAGAGGAAACAATTTTCAATATATCTTAGTACCAATCTTGGTGAAAGCAAAATACAGTTTGCACACTTATAAGGATTCATCTAGTGGGACAGTAAGAATAATTTTAAAATAGATATTAGGTACAATATGGATGGAGAAAATCATGTAGCCACTATAGGATGGTAATTTAGGATTTCATTAGTATTATGAGGAAGTGTCCTCATATTAGACAGTTTAATATCAGAAGTTCCTATGCTGACATCACACATTGTTGCTTGCTGGGCCATGTCTGAACAAGTGTGCAAGAGTACAATAAAATTTTGATGTTAGGTTAATTTCATTTGACTCACTAGCAGATATGAACATATAGCCCACGGTATTTGACTTCTTTCAGCTATACATATAAAATTTATTTGACCATATATCCCTTTGCAAATTTGAAATGCATGTGCAGAAGAAAATCTAAGTGACAACATAACAAATGTTTAGCCTAGATGAGAGTAGATTAGAGGTTGTAATACTGAAAGAGCTATTGGATAAATCTGAATCCCTCCACGTTAACAAATGCAAGTGATGTGCATTTACTTTAAATATCAGTTGTTTATTGCTCCATGTAAAGACTATTTGCAAGGTTGCAGAAGTAGCTAAAACTGGCAGATACAAATCCTCAAGGGAAATAACTTCTGTAACTTCCCATTCATAAAGGCGCGTGCCTCCAATTTTTATTAGTGTTTTTCCAGAAGGTAGAAAGATGGCTTAATCTTGGTCTTTCTCCTTGTCAAATTGTATTCCCCATATGTGTATCTACATCTATCTAGCTATATGTCACTAGCAGAGGCAGTAATACTGTCCTGTATCCAACAAGTATAGCTTATTTTCTGTGTACTTGAAGCTTCACATAGTTGTCTTCTGGGACACCCACCTTGATTAAGGGAATATTGCTCAGCTAACTCATAGTCCCATGAATATTCCAGACATAGTATTAATCCAACACTTAGAGATCCTTAATTCAACATCTGACTGCTTCCACATGCCTTAGCCAATGTAAACATGTTATTGTTGTTAGTTTGTGGTGCCGTGTCTCTTCCCGCTGCACTTTGTATGTGTTCAAATCATTGGGAAAATAGCTAAAACAACCATTTTCCCCCCTGGCATCGGAACTTTACTTTGCATCTGTAGTTTACTCTTCAGGAAACTAGAAAACTGACTTACTATGCAAAACAGGTGACAAAGGCTAGCACACCTTATACCTGGGTCCCATAAATATATCTCTGGCTGTGTGATCCAGGCAACTGCAGACTCATTAGTCTGATCAATATATGCAAGGCTTTAGAACAAATTGTGAAGCAAAGAATAATTAGACAGACATAAATAGGAGATAATGCAACATGGTTTTACCAAAGGTAGGCTGTGTCAGACTAACCTGACATCTTTCTTTGATAACTGATTCTATAGACAAGAGAAATGTGGTAGATCTAATTTATATGGACTTCAGTAAAGCACTTGATAAATGACAATGAAAGCCCATTTAACAGATTCTGGACTGCATCTTCAACACAACACAGAATTCTTGAATCTTACAGTAACTGTTGAATATACATGTAGTTTTTATCCAAGAAATAACAAACATTTGCTTTCAGCTAAGCTTTTTTTAAAAACTTTTTTCTTTCTGCCCTCTCTAAAATGACACTTATGAAAACCTTCCCTGATCCTTAAAGTTTTGAAAGAAAGATAATCTTAAGTGCATAAACCAGCCTCTAATTAGGGTTAATAAGGTACTTCCTGGTGGGCAAGAAACTCCATAATTGTTTACTAAAGAGTTTCTGCCCCTTCCTCCAAAGCATCTAGTGTCAGCCACTGTTGGAGATGATGATGAATACAGATGGGTTCCTGGCCTGATCCGTTATGCTTTCTTATTCTTAAGTGGGGTTAAAGATTTATCTATCTGGGGACTAATTTTGCTACCTACCCCCTTTTTTTTGGTGCTTCACCTTCATGGGTATTTTCTTTGTGCAGAGAAGACAGGATTGGGACATTACTTGTGAAAAGCACCACTTTGTTGGTATTCTGACACTCTCAACTGTACATCAGGGCTAAATTTTAATTTTGGACATGTCATAGACAGGTGATTAAAAAAAAATAGGGAAGAGGATAATAGTAAACATTGCCCACAAACCTAGTTGGTAAAGGAATATTTGCCTTCTGCTGCTGTCAACAGATATACAATAAGCATTGTTTTTATTGCTGGGTTATGTATGCTGCATTTTTTAAAAATAGGAATATATTATTAATGCCCTGCCGCCTTATAACAAATGCAAGATGGGTAAGAATTTGTGGAAAACTGAGCAATGTTAATCTGTATAATAGTTAATTAAGACATAAAGAGAAGGCACCCAAATTAGGAGTCATGTAATTTAAATCAACCTTACCCTTTAAGTCTAAAATCAACTAATGTTATAATAGCTACCTCTGTTCTATGGGGCTGGGGAGAAAAGTGCGGTACCCACTAGGGACTGGGGGTGGTGCCAAAGTCGATTCAAATCAACAGGGGTCTTATTATTGACTATAATGGGTTTTGGCTCAGGCTCTGGAGGGATAAACATCTTTTGTGCTGTTACCTTTTCAGGATAAAAAGAGCAAATATTGATCTATATCACTCAAAAAGACAGGAATTGTTTTAATTATGTACAAACTACAGATAGTGATAGTTTTTTTTATCAATGCTGTGACTCTGTGAACTAAGTGTATGTTATGGACTAACCAATCGGAACCTTCAGGGGCATGGGCAGATTTCAGGAACTAAAAGCTATATTCTCTGAGGTGCATCATAAAAACACAATTTTCCCAGGGGCCTCCAAAAATCCATCCAGAGGAAACCAAGTTCTATTACCTGCAAAATGAATTCTCATCATGTGATTTTCCAAGTTATTTTAATTATTTTGTCTTGTTTCATTTTCCATCATATAGTTTCTCCAAGACACTTTGGATGCCCTGTTTAACATCATGATGGAACATTCCCATAGTGATGAGTATGACATTCTAGTCTTTGATGCGCTGGTAAGAATCATCATAGGAAAAAAAAGACTACACTGCAAATAGAAAAAATGAGCAAATGGACTCAAAATGCACTGAAGACACTGCACTACTAAAGTGTCATAAGAGACTCCATAGTGTGTATATATACCGCAGGGAATTAGTGTTAAAATAACATAAAATGAGTTGATGAAATGTTGCCTTTGAGTGTGTCACACTGTGTGGAGTGGCTTATGACCAAAAGTGCTCGCTTCAGAGCAGACACCCCAAACAGGTGATATGTTCTATAACCCTGTAACAAATCTGATCTCCAAAAGCACTATAACAGTCTTACCATGAAGGCACAGACAGTCCCCTTGAGCATTCTAGCCTATCTTGCCACTTAGGCAAACTAGACTAAGTGATAAATGGTCACTTACACCAAAAGTCACAAAATATTCAGGTTGTTCCTAGTCTTAATAGACCTGTCACTTACCCCAGATGAATTTGTACCTCAGATCTCTCACCAAAGACAACACTGGTAGTCAGACCTATAGTAAACTAAGAATTTATTGACTAGGAAAAAGAAATCAGAGTTATTTACAGGTTAAAGCAGGCAGTCTGAGGTTCCAAAAGGTGACAGATGTAGACATCTGTCGATTCAAAATGTCTTTCAGGGCAAACCCAGAGTAACTATGGGGATCTCTGCTTCAGTTTAGTGTGTCTGGCCCTGTCTGAGTCCAAACATCAAAAAAGAGATGAAAATTTTTCTTTGTTCTCCTATTTTATTTCCTCCCACCAGCATTCAAACTGATGATATGGGCTTTCTTGCATGTAAACACTTTTGTGGGTCTGAGAGAGCCATTAACTAAGTCTTTGTATTGTGATGTTCCACAATGGCCTATTTAGTTCTGATAGTCCTCCTTGATAGGCAGTGGACCATTTTCTTCTGATTGGGTTCACAGGGTCATAGCAAGCACTTGTACAGTTACAAAATAAAACTTACATATCACGTTATAGCTTGGGATACAGACATGAAGAGTGAAATTAATACATGAAGCAACTTAAAAGCATTTAATAAAATTTAAAAATATTGTTATAAATCTGGTGCCCATCTTAACAACGCTAACACAGGTGAGCTGTACTGGTTTCCAGCAATGAATGTCAGTGCTCAGCTGAAGCCTAAAGTCTTGGCAAAAGCTGGCACCTGGTCTGCCAGCATCAGAGTGAATAGCTAAATTTGCTGAAACTGTTCATCAAAGTGTGCACAAATGTTTCAGAATGATAAATACTTCAGGAACCTGATATTTCCATTTTAATGTTGTGTGTATTTCAAACACTGATTAATCTCTCTTTAGATTTATATAATAGGACTTATTGCAGACAGGAAATTTCAACATTTCAATACTGTTCTGGAGGCTTATATCCAACAGCACTTCAGTGCAACTTTGGCTTACAAGTAAGTTTTATTCTTTTATTTTTTTCTCTCTCTTTAAAAATCCGCCAGTCATTTTTTGAAAGGTAACAAGTAACTTTAATCTCATTAGATGTCTTTACTTGATAAAGTACTACCGTACGTTGGCCAAATTGAGATCCTTTTCAGTTTTAGTCCTCCTGCAGGTCAAACTCCTATGGATTTCAAAGAGGACTAAACCTGCGTAAGGACTGTAGGGATTCAGGGTTTTGTCCAATATGAAACAGACTGATTACACCAGTTTTGTGCAAACTCTGGCAGAAAGCCTCTAGCTGTAGAAAGCCTCAAAAGGAAGTGGTTAGCACACAGCAATGCATAAACCTCCCCTGGGCTGAGGAGTCTGCGGCCAGATAATGACTGCTTCAAAATTCAGCAGAGCTTACTTGGGAAGGTTGAGGTTATGACAGTAATGAATTCAGGACATTCCTTTGGTAGCCTCCATTTGCAGGGATCCCATACAGTCCCAATAAACATTTCCTCCCTATGTGGAATCCCAGGTACCACTACCTCAACTCACTAGTATGTAATCGATTGGAGTAGGATAGGCAGGTGCAGTTGACCAACAAGGGTCAATTCAGTTGTGATGCAGGAAGATAAAACTATGTGTTTCATAAACTGGCTCATAGGAAGTTCCCAGCATTTTGATACTGTAAGGAAAGAACCTATTACAACTGGAGTTGTCACAAATTTTGTCACTCAATGTTTTTTGCCAAAAAACGCCAATTTGTCAAAACCAAAACTGTTTGCAAAACGGGAGTGAGTTTACAACTTGAAAAAATGTAGAGAAAATTTCAAAATAGTCTGTTTTGGTTTGGCATTCTTGAAATGGAAAAACTCCAGCTTTTCAATGTGAAACAACTTTACATTTTGAAAGGTAAGCTTAATTGGACTGAGAATGGTTAAAAAGAAAAGCTGGGGGGAGAGAGAAAAAGGTCAAGATGAAAACAAAATGTTTCAATTTCCCCAAAATGTGGGGAGGAGGCTAACGGGAGAGTTTTTTTGGTTAAGGAATATTTTTGAGATTTTGACTTTGTCCCAGTTTAAGATGGGGGTGAGGTCAAACTAACATTTCTGAAAATGGGAAACTGTTTCCCACCCATCTCTAATAATGAGTCGGTGAGGGTGCCATCAAGGTTGACATGACATGCTTCTGAAACTGTAATGACCAAAACTGAGAAACTCAGGGTATGTCTATAGCTGGGAGACTGTTGGCATAATCCCATAATGTAAACATAGCCTACTGACAGAAGGGGTTCCTCTGGCATAGGAGCCACCTCCCTGAATGATGTTACTGATGTCAATGGAAGCTCTGTTCTGTTGATATAGCTGTGTCTATACTGGGGGTTATATAAGCATATCTGTCTATTGAGGATCTTTTCCCCCCACACCTGTGACAGACGTAACTCTACCAATAAACTTTCTGGCATAGACCAGGCCTCAATCTTAAGGGCCTGATTTTGCTCCCATTTAACTAAATAGCAAGAATCAATGTGACTGCAGTGATAACAGGAGAAAATTGCACTTGCCTGACATTTTTGTTAGCATGTAATGTGCCAGTGCAGCCGAGATTCCCCTCAGGGCATGCAATGAGGAAACAGGTAAATACTGTACATACCTTATATGAAATATCTTATTTGAGCAGTCATGCCACTAGTGTTTAATAGTGTTAGAGCACATGCCTTCGTTCAGTGCTTCCTAATTTATTATCTACATGGCAGGCAAAGTCACCTAGAGTTTAATCCTTTATATGTATTGTACTTCCTTGTACAAGGAGCACTGGCACTAAAATGAATGCCACTGAATCATAGTTTCCAGAATTGTCAGCTCGGGTGCAGACAGTTTCTATACTCAAAGAAATTTATACCATTTCAGAATCAGTTATTTGCTGTTCATTCTCATCACATTTACAGGGATTCTTACAATTGGCATGTATGGTAGTAAAAATTTGAATTTGGTTTATTTTTATATCTGCCATTTAAGTCTTGATGTACTATACAACTGCAGATTCAGAAGGTTGAATAATTTACTGAGACAACGCTAGTTACTGAAGTGCATTTTTTTAAAAAGCGTGTTTTTGAAATTATCCCTAATTCAGGAAACTAATGACGGTTCTGAAGACATATTTGGATACCTCCAGTAGAGGGGAACAATGTGAGCCTATACTAAGAACTTTGAAAGCACTGGAATATGTGTTCAAATTCATTGTTCGGTCAAGAACATTATTTGCACAGTAAGTACTTGTTCTGCAAGCACTTGATTGATTTTGTGCTGCAATGATACAAACGTGTAATATTCGTGTTGGTAGGGGAGAGGAAGAATTGGGCACACGCCTGTAGGAATTTTCTGATCATCTTTTTATTTCAAATTGAGCACAAGAGTTATCAGATACTTGATGGTGTGCTTGGCCTAAAGTTTTATGGATTAATACTTTATTCAGGTGGTAAATTTTTTCATAATGAAAATTGTCACAAAAAGTAAACATCCACTTTTCATTTCATTCAGCGCACAAATTCCCAGTTCCTACTAAGATAATGACCTCTCTTGAAAGATGATTACCAATGACATCAGATTGTTTTGCCAGCTGTTTGGCTTGGGCCAAAGAGCATGACAGATGGCCTAAAGTTTTAGATGCTTGTGTTTAGCAGATCAAAGATTGTGCATAGCACAATGTAATAATTTTGGACTAACATAATTGAATTGAGTGTAGAGCTCCAGTTATCCAATTAAGAAGCTGGAGAATTAATTTTAGAGGGAAAGATTAAAAGGAACTAGGTATGCATAGCTCAGTAATGTGACAACTAACAGATGGGGCAAGTCTACAAGCTTTCATAAAGTATAGCAAGGAGGGAGGAATTTTTAGAGCGGTAGAAGAGGTTATAAATGTGAGCAATGGAATAAAATGAGAGAAAATTTAGGCTTAATATTGTGAAACACTTCACAGTACTAAAATCTATTAAAGTAAAGAATACTCTTCCAAGGGACGAAAGCCCTGTTGCTTGAGACATTAAGAATGTAATGTGTGTGGGGGGGAGGGAATCTTTAAACCTTTGTAGGAAGGAATTCTGCACTCCCAAGGGAGGAGGGAGGTCTGACTGGGTGACTTAATGAAACTTTTCCATCCCTAACCTCTTTGACATGATTCTATGACTTTTATCTTTGTTGGTTTTATAAAGGAGCATATATTTACTCAGGAAAGATGAACTATTGATTTATATTCCAAACATAAGGAAAGTGTCTCACATGGAGGTAGAATCACCAGGAGAAAAATGCACATTTCACACCTGAAATTAAGACCATTGTCCATCCCTTTGGTGTTTAGCCCTTTAATGTTTAAAGAACAACAAAGCTCTCTTTCCTGAGCACAACTATATGCAAAAACGGCTCTCTTAAGTTAGGTGCTCCTTAAAGAAAAATACTAGTAATTTTTTGATGTTCAAAGGCTCTTTCACTTGATGAATCCACTACTACATCATATCAAAGAGAGAAAGAATGAAGCAATGAAAAAACTTGAGTTGGAAAGCCAAATTTTGCCCTTAGGTTTGTACATGGGATTGACTGAAGTCCAATGAAAGCTCTGTTATGTGTCCTGAGGGAAAACATTTCCCTCAGTACGAATACCTTTCCATAATAACCTGATGAAAGAGGGGTTGCGTATAACTGTCATATAAGGCTCTTCATTTCCAGAGACTCCCGTTTCTAATCCACTTAGTCCATGAAGTAGGAATTCAAGGTTACTCATTAACCTATTATTTCTGTCCATTACTGTAGCATCTAGGAGCCACAGTACAAAATACTGGTCTCTGCCCCAAAGAGCTTACAGTCTAAGTAGATGACAAGAGACAGATGAAATAGATGTGGGGTAGATAGATGCATTGGCAATTGTTATAGGTAATGAGTAAGTTTTGCCATCAGTGAAAACAACAAATTGATAGCATTATTTGGTAAGATCATAAATTGTTGCAAAGGCATTTGTGATTGTGAATTACATTTCTAGGAGCAAATTAGCCAATGTTTGAGAGATTATCATTTTATTTGGGTTTTTATGCTGCTGCTTTTTTTTTTTTACACACACAAACTTTTACTCTTGGGAATCTGTTTAGTTTTTTATATCTTTAATCACTCACTCTGTCAGATTATAGCTAATTATTTCACAATAGCATTAGCTTAATGGGGACCAATGCAGAATATAATATAATATCCTTAATAAAATGTTCTTGACAATATCACTTTAGGCCTCAAAATATTACCTCCTTAATTGTTGCTATTCTGATGATGAAAATCACCACTATATTGCCAAGAAAATTTAACAGCGCCCCCTCTCCCTGCAAAACTTATATCCTTAAAGCCACATTTTTCACACATCCCCTATCACTTCTGCTATTGACTCACTAATTGTGCGAGTTTGGTCTCACCACTAAATCTGTTTCCCCCCTCCCCATTAATATTGCAATAGCTGTTGGCATTTATATAGTGCTTCTCATCTTAGGATCCCAAAGCTTTCTACTAAACATTCTATGCTCTTTCTACAAAGAGACAATAGACGTTAACGTTGCCAGTTTGGGATTGATTGTACATAGCCATCATTCAGGCACAATCCAGGAACCTTGTATTACTAGCACACAAATACACTTGCACTGAGAGTGCCATTAAACTCAACCAAAGAGGGAGAGGGTGAGGAGAATGGGGCTATGTCTGCCCACTCTCCCATCTCCTGGGCAATGGACTGGCACAGTGAGAGCACATGATGCATCCTGGAAAACGGCACAGCAGTGAAAACTGCTGTGTATGATTTCCCAGTGTTGCTGGCGCAATGGTTCTGGGAACTGCTCCTCTTCACCCATTCTAGTGTGGCCATTGGCTGAATTCACTGTTTTGTCTATTTAAGATAGAATGAAGGGACAAGATACATCACCCATAAACACAAATAGGATCAGCATAATATTATTTACATACAGTTACATATTGTGCAGCATCTTTAAGTTTGACATCCGTTTTTATTTCTGTCCCATATCACTTCTTACCACCTACATACAGATGTCACCCTCCCATAGCTTTCCAGTAGCAGCTACAAAATCTAGAGTAGACACTGAAATTGTACACACTGACCTACACACTTTGAAAGAAAGATACACAAGATGCCGATGTAAAGCTATCTCAGTTCAACACACTTTAAAAGGCGTGTACTATTCACTTTACGTTTCATAACGTTCCTGACTTGCACCATCAGTGTAGACCAAATACCTAACTGCACCCTTGTACCATTTTCCTTGCCGCTGTAGGATTGTAATGAGATGGCACTCATCTCTCTCAAGCGCCCCCCTTGGCAGAGTGTGCATGCCTACACTCGCGCTCTCTGCCTTGTGGTGTGTCTTCAGGAACTCACCCTCTGGCCGAGTCCCACAGTCTGTGTGTGAAATAAAAGCAAACCCCTTCTGGGGGTTCAAGTCCAACGGGGGGGTCGGGTCTACATATCTAGACACCCTCTGTAAGGTCCCTTTATCTGCAGCTCTATCTCCGGGCTCGCTCCTCAATCCGTCCAGCAGGACCTATTGCATTACCCTGGTTTGAACGGTCTCCCTGTCCCTTCTGGAATCTCTTAAATTGTCCCTGCTCTGATATAGAGCAGTGCCCCCAGGGCTCCCTCCCTGGTGGCAATGTCTTTGCCTTCTTTGGGCTTGTCAGGGCCCAGCTTTCTGGGGTGCATCAAAAGTCCAGGCCACTTCCCCAGTGACTAATGGGGGAGGGAGGCACCAGGCCCATCCATTGCTCTGAATCCTAGCCCCAGGACCTTGTAGATAGTATCATCCACTGTGTCTCTTTTAAATAAACTGTCTCCCTTCTACAATTTCCTGGGCCACTTCCCTAGTACATTCTTCACCCTTATTTCAAGGCCTTTTCTTGGTTGAGTCCCAGCAGCCAGCGCAGAGCTCCTTGCTCCCCACAGTCTCTGCCAGTTCTGCTCGATCTGATGTCCTGTAGCTCCCTCAGCCACCTGGCTCCTCCAGCATGGAACTGAACTCACTTTGGCTCTTCAGCTCGTTTTATACCAGCCTGCTGGGCCCTGACTGGCTGCTGCTTGCAGCCCCTTCTGATTGGCTGCATCCCACGCAGCCACTCTCGGCAGCTTGGAGGACCCTCTCTACTGCCCTTTTCTGGGGTGGAGTGCGGCAGGGCTGTGAGGCCTCCAGCAGGGGCCTCAGGACCTAGTCCATCCCATCACAAGGATAACCAGCCACTTTCTGTTTACCCAAGCAATACAGCTGAGACACCTTCTGCATATCGAACATGTATTCTCTTCTGCTTAGCTACTACAGAAACGGAGCCTCAGAAAACAGCACCATATGTAATGTCCCACAAACTTTATAGTACATTTGTTCACATTGAATGCCCTGTAAGATTTATTTTGGACACCCACAGAAAATGCTCTTCTGGCATCAAATAGGAATTGTGTATATGTAAACAGCCCTACAATGGAAATACTTTCTGACCTTGACTATGAAGTTGATTCCATGGCTCCAAAAGTTTGGTCAGAGAGTAGCTGATAACAGTACATTTACAAGGCTGTCTTGCACTACTTTTGTTAACAGTGAAATTTTAATAATAGAGAAAGGGACATTAGTTTAAGTTTTTAAATACCGGTACATTATTTAAAATGAAGGATAAAGTCAAAATAAAAAAACTGATAGGTCTCCTAAACACTTGCAAGATTTTAAGTGTTCTAGGGACAAACTCAGTTGTGGTGATATTTCATCAATAAAGAACTGAGGATGAAATGATCTATTCATTACTCTATGCTGATAGGGGAGGAGAGGAAACTTCCTCCCATTTGAAACTAAATATTTCTAGAGGTCTGTACTCTTACATTAAGATGGCTTTTTTTGTATAGCAGTTACAGCACTGTGTGCTTCTAACTAATGCTGCCACTGACAAGACCACAGAAGATGACATTGTTGGGGGTGAACTTTGAAGATCAAATTATAGAATACATATGTAGGTTATGGAATGCATATTTTTAAAATTCAGATAACTGAATCAGAGCAAATAAAGGTATAGACTTGGGAGGGGATATATAACTCCTGCAGCTTATGTAATAGTTATGAATAAACCACAAAGCTGTTTGACATGATTACTATACTTTGTGATACACATCAAATGTACCTGAAGTAAGCACTGACTTCTAAGTATGCTAGTTCTAAAAGAACTGAATTTTTTCAGGTATGTTACCTTTTC